TCGATTTTGATTTATTCTTTAGTTTTTTCGAGGAAGAAAGAATTATTATTTTGGCTTTCCCGGGGTTTGAACCGACTCAGCTGTGTGACCCGTCAGATCAGAGGAGACTCTAAGTTGAGGGATTAGCCGCTTGCGCTACTGCGACCCAAGGTAGTTTGGGATATGAAAAATAGTTATGAAATGATGCACTAGTTTCGGGACAAGATTGGGCGTGCAAGTTCGTGACTTTTCGGCTTGTTTCAACTATTTCACGAAATGAGACCGGACTACTTCGTGATATCTTGAGATCACTTCGATTTTAGTCTTTAATTACTCGAGGAATAAATAGAGGATATCTCGTGGCCGCGCAGAGACACGAAATTTCTCTTCGAGTGTTGAAAAACATTTCACGAGTGAGCCCTCCTTTCCAACTGTTTTATGATGAATTTAAAGTTACAAAATGCTGCAAAAAGACATTTTGTCTTTGTTGAGTGTCACGTACTAAAATTGCTTTCATGCGTTGCGTGACTNTCAGGTATTGTGTTTAGAAGTTCGCGGAAGCCGTAAGATATCTGAAGTTCAAGTGAGAGTTTGTTATTATTGGTAGAGGCTGTTTAGTTTTACTCAAAGTTCAAGTCAAGTTTGTGTTGGTGAATGCCGTGTTTTAAAGCTCTGTAAAGGCAATGTTCCTTTGGTGTCAAACTTCCTTGTGTTAATCCGACATCCCTGCGTGCTGATAGTCAGTGAATAATTATCCTCAAAACATTCGAACTCGTGACTTTGAGTTTTAGCCAATTCCATGCTCAACGTAATTGACTCCTTACCCATGCCTTACATATCTTTAATCAGTACATGAGACTGCTATGCTGTTTTTGAAACCTGATGTGACTAAGAAAAATAGAGAATTGTTTTTTTAGAAGGATTTGTATGGAGTCATCAGAGCATAACTGGGCTAATATCTCGGAGACAATTTGTCCGGAAATGCTAGTTTTTGGCAAGTAGGCCTCTTGGATGTTGCTCTTTTCAGAATATCCTGACAAATCCCATAATTCCACAAATTAACACCTTACTCTTGCCATATTTGATTTCTTACTATTCCTCCGCATTTACAATTAATTAGTTCCACAACTACGACGCCGAAGTGTACGCTCCGTAGCGTCTTGTTTTGAATGAATAATAAAACAGTTATTGAATTCGGCTTTCGTATCATATGAAGAATTATGGAGATCTCGGAGGGTGTTATCGGAGGTCTCCTCGATCTCCATAATTCTTCATAAGATACTTAGCCTCATTCATTAACTGTTAAGTATTGTATTGTATTGCCAACATTGCATTGTATTGTATCGTATTGTATATTGTATTGTGTTTTAGTACGACATTATTCATAAAGAAATATGTTACTAAAGAGGAGAGGAGCACACTTACGATAACAAATACTGTTCCTCTTGCTATTGTTGTTATGAATTGTTAATTTTATCACTTAAAGGAAGAAGATTACCTAGAATAAAAGAAGACTACTTGTGATAAATCTTATACAGTATGAGTAAAATTCGAGGGTATAAGCAGCACAGAAAATTAAATTAAATAACAATTAATGAATGAGACTGAGTATCTTATGAAGAATTATGGAGATCGAGGAGGGTGTTAACGGATAACAACCTCCGAGATCTACATAATTCTTCATATGATACGAAAGCCGAATTCAATAATTGTTTTATCATTCATTCAAAATAATTCCTAGTTTAAAAACGAAGCCAAAACATTCTTACCTCCATCGATGTTAAGTTCACCTTCGATAATGCACGTTTAGGGTTGTTCAGCTCCGCAGATATTCTCCAAATAGCAGATGTCGCCCTTTGAGTTGTCTTCTTGCTGTTCTTGCCATGTTTTTAGCTATAACTTCGCCTAGTTCTTATGTATAATTACCCTAGAAACGAGTGAAATTTCCGCCATTTTTATGTTTTCACAACCAAAAAAACTCAGCCTTGTCCCAGGTCTTCTCGGTTAACGGTGCATTAACCTGAAAGAACGCTGCATTTTTGACATCATTTTCTCGCTAAACACAAAACTCTTCCAAATTTGGTCATCAGTAACTGGTTATGGTGAATTGTGCGTGTGCTTTTAGCCAATCAGAATTGGGGAAAGATTTTGAATGAATAATAATACAATTTATAAAATCGTATTGGGCATCACAACTGAGCAACCTATTGTAATAAGTTCGTTTCAATTTACTTTTACTTTTGCATAGTTCCTTCGAAAACTTTTGACGGAATAGAAAAAGGTATACTGTAAATAAAATTTAAAAAACAGCAACAACAACAACTACAACGCTAGAACAAAAATCTCCTCGACAACAAATGATTGATCAGATAATGTGCTTGAGAATTAAGTTTAAGACCGAGGTAGGGCTTTTGGACCCGACCCCCCCCCTCTCCCCCCCGCCTCCCATAGCGAAAAAGTTGATCGAATAACTTAAAATTAAACCAGTTTTTCCTGTTTTCATATATTAAATTAATTATAGCATTGCACTTAATTTAGCAAAAAATTTACCATTTAGTATTGATATTGATCTGTTTGTGACAAATGATTTGTGACAAATTTAGCAGTATATATTCCTCTAGAGATTTCACGACTAAGAGATTTTTTTTGCTTCCTAAGCATCCGTTTATACGCGGATCATTTTTCTTATTACAATTACCTCGATTTATACGGGTTTTCAGTAAAATGGAATACATTTAATAATTTTCCAAAATGGCGGATCCAAGATGGCGGGTAATTCCAGACTTTCGTTAATAATAAATGACGTCATCATGATATCACTGCTGCTCTTAAAGGTCATAAACTAAGAGAAATATTAAATGTAAGTATTTTTCCCTTAGAAGCGGAGGGGGGACTGATGGAATTTGGATTCTGCCAATATATTTAGTAAATAAACCGCTTCCGGCAGCTAAAGTTTATAGAAGGATAATACCGGCGGCTGAGAGATTGCCCGAAAAATAAACATTTCGCTTCGAGGGCAAATGTGAAATTTTGAGGACAATCTGTCAGCCAAGGGCATTATCATCCCATATACCAGCAAGCCAGAAAGGGATTTATTTATTTTATAATCCTCTGATTAATTTTTTACATCTCCATGTTGGGACTTGGGAGAGAAAGATCAAATAAACTAGAAAAGAGCGCTTTTAGTTTATATTTTACCGACAGAAATGTTTGAAAACTTCTTAAAAATAACCACTCATGAGTGAGTGGATGTGGTTTCTTTCTTTTTAACGTAGTTTAGGGCGTTGATAGAGGTTCCATAATATCTCGCGCGGACAAGTCAAGATGCCAAGTTTTATTCGGATTGCGGAGATCGGAGACTGGGTTTCATAGAAAGAAGGTAGAAGAAATAATGTGGCCCATCGGTAAGAATAGGTTGAAATGGCAGGAAGTTACTTGAATTAAGCTTATAAATCGGCTAACAATCGAAGATGACTCGAACTGTTGCTCTCTAGTTGGTTGCGCATTGAACGACTCGTTCAATTTATCGCTTTCATGGCCCGCTGACGCTTTTTTTTCTTCTCTCTTCTCAATGCTGAAAGTAACGTTCAACAAAAAAAGGCTTGTTTTCGTAAACACTTTGAAGTATTCTTTTCCATAGCTGACAGCTATGACTGCGTAAAAAACTGTATTCAAGTTTCGTAAATATTAAGCTTAATACGTAAATTTTGCTCATCTTCGATTCATGCCATCGCTTATTTTATTGATTTCTCACGTCTGTATTTTCCGTAACTGTCAGTTGCCAACAGCTCAAATTTTTTTCTAATTGTTTTTTTTTTTAGATTGGGTGTGGCTGGATTGTAGGTATTGTGCGTAGTAACAAACGGCAAAATCTCCTTTGTTCAGGTGTTTGTTCGTTTTGTTATGTTGCGAAAAACCTCGTTTCTGTCGGTGAACTTAACTTCAGTCAGTATTTTTTGAACGAGCGTTAAAGGGTAGCCTCGTTCAAGGTCTCGTTTGCTTTGTTCAAAGTTTTCTCTAACTGAGTTAGTTCTTAAAAGACGTAATGCCTCTCCTTTTATAAAACCCTTTTTGCGATAAATCCCCATGATATCCCCATGCTTACCATCCGCGATTTTACAAAATTTGCAATTCCCCCACCTTCTTCCCTTCGAACTAATAAAATAATATCGTGAATTTTCCCCTCCCCAGGGGCAGAGAATCCAATACATCCCCCTGTTTTCCCCGAAATATTTCCCTGGTTGGCCAGGGGCTCGCACCAAAACCGTTCTAAAAATAAACTGGTCCGTGAAAAGACTTTGACACGAACGCATGGAAGTTATCGTTTCGGGTTATGGGCTTCTGATAAAATAACCAGGGGAGCCCTATTTTTTATCCCTCGTCAAATTTTCACCCGCGTAGGCTACTTTTGAAAGAGTTCTAACTCCAAAGTTTTGGAAAATTTTTGCTTTTGAGAACCGGAATCCCGGCCGGGAGAGTTTTGCTTTATGATCCGGAATACGTGATCCGGAATCCAAGTTGCACTGTTCCACTCGTTTTCTCTTGTGACAAAGAATCCGGAATCTAGTACCTGGAATCTGGAATCGTTGGTGTGGAAGCCAGAATCCAAGACCGTCTTGGGTTTCCTTAAGTGGGGCAAGTAAACAAATTATAATTTACGCGCGCTCGCCTATTGGCCGGATTCGGTTCAAAGCGAGGTTAAGATAACCCTGGGTTAGTGCAGGAGCCGATTACTCCTGGTTAGTGCGAATTTTGCATTCAGAAATAGAAGCTTAAAAACCAAATTCAGATAAATTCTTTTGGTCTGCATTTTGGCGACTTGGAACTGTAAAAAGATTAGGGAAAATTATCCGAGAAAATGCTTTTAAACAGAAGAAAAAGAATTCCGGATTAAAGTTCAACCCACTCTCGGCCCAGAAGTCTGGAACGATTGAACCAGCGGTTTGGATTGCGGGCGTGCATGATGTCGCAACAACATGGCGGACGTAGGCGAACGTGGAGAAGAAGAATAGGTTTCGCACATTTTGAAAGAGCTGATTATTTTCGCTCGATGTGATGTGAATTCGAAAAAGGAAATGTATTTTTATTGACTTTGACGATCAAGTAAGTTTTTGAAATGTGAGTATTTTTGTACCGAAGAGATCTACATTGTACAGTTAGACCTTGAGATTTCAAGGAGCACGTTATGCCCCCCAAACCCTCACTTTTCTACATTTGCTGCATTTTTTGCCCGTCATTCACTTAAGCTTGTGTTCCCTTTGGGATTTAAGAACAACAACTAAACAAGGTTTGATCATCGCTGGGGGATTACAAGCAAAAAACTTTGTTTTGATAATAATTTTGTTTGCGGTTTGTAATGAAAGGGGCCGTCAACATATTCACTTTTTCTCTGCTTATTAAAACGTTAACTGGAAGTTAAGATCATACCACCCACCCCAACGCCCCCCACCCCCTCCCCCCATTCTTAACGTTCACTTGTAATACAATTCTGCTGCTCCAAAAGTCACTGCATTCCAGAAGGAATACTGACATGCACTGATGTGAAAGTGTCAATGGTATCGACACAATTAACTGCTTTCAAAAACTTGGTAGAAACTTCATACTTCGAATTATGCTTTCTTCTAGCTGTTCTCTCGCAAAATCTGCATATCTGCTCTTTCCTGTTGACCCTTTTTGTTTTCTACTACATTTGTACATTACATATTCAGAGGTCAAATCCAGGATCACTGGTACATAGCAGCCATTTATGAATCTGCCCTGCTCTAATGTCCACTGCCTTACCCCCCTCCCCCCCCCCCCCCCCCCCCCCCCCCCCCCCCCGCAAATGTCCAGTTGACATTAAGCGGGGGGAAGAGTGAATATGTTGACAGCCCGTAACCAGGGTGCAAAGAAAGTTGGTTTTACGGCTTGCCATTCTGGCCAGTTATTGCTAGTATGTACACTGCAAGGTTGTGCTCTAAGGAAAATTTCAGGGAGCCCTTCGGGCTCCTAAGCATTTTAGCTAAGGTGCCCAGACCTCAAAGTTGGTCGCCCGAATAAAAATTTCGGGAGCCCTTCGGACTCCAGAACATTCCTGCTCGGTTGCCCAGGCCTCCAAGTTGGTCGTCCTAGTACATCTAATGAAGAAGTATTTTGTGTGCACGTGAATCTTACTGGCCTGCTTCATCAAACTTGGTAATTTTGACCTTTGGGTGTGACAAAAACCTGCATGTTGTCTTATGAAACCCATCAAAGTTTTCGTGCCAGTTAGATTTTAAACCAGAACCATAAGCAGTGCCACCAAATTGTTCAGGTTTTAACCCATTCGCCCCTGAACCGCCTGTAACCGCCCGTGCGGATCCACGTCCTTTCTACCCTTTGTGACGTCATCATGCAGAAAGAGGCAAAAAACCATGTAACATTGACCTGAAAATCTCCATGAAAATCTTGATCCATTGCCCACCTACCTTTCCTTTCACCTAATCCTAAGATCCTAAAAGCTTTCCTAAAAACTATTCCCACCAAAATGAATCCTACTAAATGCCCAGCAAGAGAAAAAAAAAAAATGAGGCAAGAAAAGCGAAAAAAGAGTGGAGGAGAGAAAGTGAAAAGTAAAAGTCAAGACTGCTGTGTCACTTTTAAACCCAGAAACTATGTCGAAATTTTGCTTTCTGCGCATGCCCGAACTTCGCAAGCTGATATTTTGCATCTGGATCAGAAGGCCATGAAGTGTACGACCTGTAAAGCGGTTTGTGGTAAGTTTTAGCTCTTTATAGCATGACAGTGACCAGAAAACCACTCGACTAGCTTCGAAACGCGTTTTTCGGCAAAATCTCCAGGAGCGAATGGGTTAAAGAGGGAAAAGTAAATTCAATAATTTCAACAGGTTTACGTAAACATAGGAAAACTATGCTTTTTACCAGTGATACTAAACTTGAAAATAAATTTTCAAAAGGTGAATCAATGGGGTATGAAAGTTTACATGGCAGATTGAACTCAAGTTCCAGTGAAAAATTCCGTGGAACAGTAAATCTGCCGCAGCCCCAAACCTGTTGTTTTAACAAAAAAAACAAGTCATCTTTAATTTTCTTTTCTATATTATCCATGAATCTTTTAGGGTAATTGAGCTTTTCCTGGATACGGTCGAAGCGTGAACCAGCTCTTCTTTTCATGTTTTTATTATTATTTTTTGGCCACTAAATTTAGCCTATATATGCATGCATGCAAATTTAGTCTTTGATATGTGAAATGCCAAGACAACGTGGAACTGCCCTGTTTCTAAAACAACAATAAAAACGATCAGAACGATCATATCTTTTCTTTTCATATTTCGTTATATCTTATATAAAGGGAAGAAAACAATCATAAATATGTTTTAGCCAAGCAGACACAACAGCCAAAAACTGTAAAAATATTAAATTTACATACTGGTCAATACAGCAACTTCTTATATACAAAAATAAATTACTCCTTGTCACCAGCCGCACTCTACGCCTGTCAGAAAAGTATTAACAGTTTCTCCTAAAAACTGTACCTAATAATAAAACCATTCTATCTGAAAGAAAAATTTTTAAAACTATTTTAAGACAGGGTATAAATCGATCCGTGCGGCTTGTCACGTTCAAAGTGATGGATTATGTTACATGTGAAATTATACAGAACAACCTTTGAACATCGACGAACGCCCATTTCTTTCATACAGCATTCATAAAAACATTTTCTGTAGGGTTTAGTAAACTCTGACTCAACAAACCAACACTAGTATGTTTAATTTTTCCGCCGCTTAACTGAACACTGCACTAGAAGCAAGGGTGCCTGGCTGGGCCAGCAGGAATTTTTTTCAGTCGCCCGAAGCTAAATGTTAGTCGCCTCAGGTGACCAGATGCCGTTAGAGCACAGCCTTAACACTGTACTATAGGCAAAATAGCCCAAGAATCTTTTAGGTAGCCCAAAAATGTTTTTGATGAGCAGCATTGATTACAGTTCTTCTGTAATTTGAATTTCCCAACAAAACTTCACTTGCCCTTTGGGCAAGTTAAGAACAGAATTCACTAGCCCGATTGCAAAATCCACTAGCCCTGGGCTATCAGACATGACTTTCTTTTCACGCTGCCTAACAGATAAAAACCATGCAATTGCTGGAATCAACAAAGGTCAGATGAGAAAATTGGGGAGGAAGGTGGTGAGGAGAAAAAGGAAGAGAGAAAAACTGCCTGCATTCAACCCCAGTTTATGGTCATTTTGCCCTGGTTATATTAAACAGCATGCTTGTTTTGGTTTATGGCTTATAGAACAAGGAATATAACATTATTTTGCAGATTAATCCCAAAAAATGCCCTTATGTGAGTTAGAAGTTTGTGACATTGAAGATGCTGTAAAGAAGGATGATCTCACTCCAAATGATCGCATCACTAAACGTAATGCTGTGCTTCCCAAGGCAAGAGCAAGATCAGCAAAAAATGGCTGTATCGAGTCACCAGTTGGAGACAGCATTATCCCTGGTACACAGAAAATTTATATCAAAACTTGGGGATGTTCTCACAATAACAGTGATGGGGAATATATGGCAGGCCAGCTAGCTGCTTATGGATATAAAATCACAGGTAATTTGGTTATAATCAGGGGTTTCAATAAGCACCGACGCCTGACGGAATGCGTCGGCTACTTTGCTCATAAAAGTCGGCTACTTTTTTTCCAGAAAGAAGTATTTACTAGTTTGAATAACATTGTAAACAAAAAATATATCATAAAATCTTAATGAAATGTAATTATGACATGCTTCCTAAAGGTTTACTGGTTTTACGTTATGCTTTAGTCAATTTTTCACAGTTTTACATAGAATTTGTTTACGTGCAAAAGTGGGTAATCTAGTTTTCATCATTTTTTTATTGCTTGTAAGAATTGATTGTGTAACTGATAAATTGAAAGGTGAATGAAAGCTACATTTTGTTGAATAAAAAACACGCTCTTTTATCCTCAGTTTGGTCCCCAGAATGCCGAAAATTGTGTTTTAGGGCTTTGAAATTTTAACATTTTGTGGGGAAGTACCCCCCAGACCCCTCCTCCACCCTAGAAAAAGGGTTACTCTATTCAAACCTGATCTACAACAAATTTTATTGAAACCCCTGATAATAATAATTATTATAATGATAATGAAGAAAAACTTGGTAATTACGACCACTTTCTAGCTGCGTTAATGAGTGGATGAATCACCACTTTAATAAGACATGTATTCTCAAATTGCCTTGTGTAGTATGCTTTTTGTAAGCCTCTCTTTTGCATTATCTTTTGTGTACTGTTTGCTCATGCAATGCACCAGTTTGATGAACATTTGCGTACGTAGTGCATGCAAAGGGAGTTGTGCTAATGTTCTCCTTTGACTTGAATTAGTGTAGTTGTACGTGTGTATTTTTAATTTGAAGTTCAGAAGTGTGGCAATGCGAGAAGTGAGTTGGATCCATGGACTCTTTAGTCACAGATAATTAAAGCTACACGTTCTAGTGCAAACCTTCTGACAAATACAATCTTATTGTACCCTAAAGAAAAAAATAATTATATTATTAAAAAAATGAAAATAGAAGTTTTCATATTAATATTAATTTTATTTTATTTTATGTTGAAAATCTGAATAACAAACCTGAGACCAACGATATGCTCATTTTACCCCTGCCCCCTCCCCCCCCCCTCCCCCACCATCTCCATCAGTGCCCTGTTTTACTGGTATTTAAAGCTACTTAAAGCTACTCTGTACACAGAAAGGAAAGAAATCGAAAGAAGGATTTGTGGTCACACCTGGGAATCAAACTCCTGCACAAAAGCCAATGCACTCACCAACTGTGCTAATTCTTCCTCTTCTAAATTCTATTGTGCCATAAGTTTGTAAAAAAAAACAAACAACAAAACAAAAGGCTGGAGTAGCTTCACATTGTACAACAGTTTGTGTCAAGAACAAAAGATGATTGCCCCGTTACATTTCCTATAGAACTGGTGAGGAGAATTGATAATATTGTCGTTAAATCCATCTTGTTTGATCATGTCTGTAATTCTAGCAACCACTTTTATTTTATACTACATGTATGTAGCCTTGATATTGTAAGAAGTTGATGCTTGTCACTGTGCCACCCGACTCACCATGTGATACTTAAGCCTTCTGTAAACTACATCAGGGTGAGAAAAATCACTTCTCCTATGGTGAAGTTCACTAGAAGTTCACTAGAACACAGGCCTACCAACCACCCTTTACTACATAACTGTGTCTACTGTATTTATAACTGTAAAATCTATTTTTTGTCACCAGATGATTCAGAAGCAGCTGACCTGTGGCTGCTCAATAGCTGTACAGTAAAGAATCCTTCAGAGGATAACTTTAGAAACGCAATCAAAAGAGCACAAGAGCTTGATAAACACTTAGTTGTCGCAGGTTGTGTTCCTCAAGGTCAACCCAAGCACCAATCCATCAAAGGCATCAGTGTGATAGGGGTAGGTTTGTGTGTACTTCATGTATGTGTGTTGTGTGAATGTTAATTTCATGTTTCACAGGGGTTTTAATAAGCACAGATGACCAATGAAACACGTCGACTACTTTTGTTAGAGAAGTCAGTTACTTCTCTTGCAAAAGAAGAAGCAACTAGCAATCAAAATGCATAGCCTGATATAAACACAAGAGGGATTGGGAGAATTCAAGACAGTTATGCAAACCGGAGACGAAGTCATAACAGTTGAGAATTCTCCCAACCCCTCTCATGTTTATATCAGGCTAAGGAAATATAGGAAAAAAGTTGGTTTTTTATTACTTTTATAAATAAACTTTCCCCCCCAAAATGCAAAACTCTTTGTTATAGCACTGATTAAAAGAGAAATTCTTACCAGTCGCAAAGTCTTGTACATAAAGTCTGGCACACGAAATCTTGTTCACGTAAGCAGTTCTTGTTTTGCAAAAAAATTTTTCTCACTTAAAATGTCAACTTAAGCGAAAAAAATTGACACAGCATACAGGTTTGTAAAGATTTTCCAAGTTTCGGCGGACCAGGGAGGGGTAAATTAAAGTAAACTTGTTGAATTTCTCAACCCAAATACTTTTTCAAATTTGTGCTTGGGTGATTAGCGCCTAAAAAGCAAAACTTCTTGATTTCATAACCATGTTTACATAGTCTCGTGCAAACAAGCATCTTGACCAATCAGAGTGTGTGTACTATCTTAGTTATTTTAATAATGACTTGTTGTAAACAATAATTAATATTATATTATTATTATGATGTGTTTTCTAATTCACAAAGAACCACTGGGTTTAATATTGTTTGCTTTGTCAGTTGGTTAGGTGAACGCCGTACATTTCAGTCAATTTTTCACACGTTTCTGTAGGGATTTACACAGGATTTGTTCGTGCACAAATGTAGTATTTTATTGTGTTTAAAATGCGATCCATCATCACTATAAAGAAATAACATGTACAAAGCTACTGTAAGCTGATAATCCGCTGTTTAGTATCGTGAACGCTTTTCAGATGTCATCAGATTTATTGCACAGTACTTTCACACAATTTTACGTATTATATACCGTGAATTTACAAGTTGGTAGTGAACTTTGTTTAAAGATTGCCTGAAAGAGTTTTGATTGTCCTATTGTTTTTGTCCTATTTTGTGGTTCCAGAAAATATCCACACCCTTCCCAGGGAAGACTCTTTTATTTGCACCCCTGACCTCCCAGGATTTTCCTTTCTAGGGGGTCTTTGATGACTTTGAAAATTTAAAATTCGCAATCGTACCTATCAAAGCAGATATTCCCAAAGCAGTTGCTTTCTTGGTGTTTTTAGGAATTGCATTATCAATGAGAGAATCAATGTCTGCATCTGACAAATTGTCAAACTTTGAGTCAGCCAAAGGTATTGTGTAATGACATTGGTGTGTTGAATTTACACCACAGCTATTACACCACAATAATGACATCAAGGTGGTTGTTTCATTACAACCCAGTATCATGTGACACAAATCAGCCAATCAGAAAACTGGAATTCGTTCAGTATATGAAAGTTGAATAATAAAGCCAATTTAACACCTAGTAGAGTCCTCTAGTAACCGTGAGTGCTATTAGTTAAAGCATTGTTTGTTTGTGTGTTAATTTCTCCTCAGGTGCAGCAAATTGACAGGGTTGTTGAGGTTGTGGAAGAAACATTAAAAGGTGAAAGAATTATTTTTAAGCCTGGGCTGTACTCTTTCAGTGCCTGGTAGTCCATGTGGATTTCTTAATAGCATCAGTTTTTTTGGTAAAAAAAGCTTATAATGTCATTTTGGATTCCCTACCAATTTTCATAGGGCACAGCTTTGAATTGAAATTAAGCAACAAATGCCACCATCCCTCCATTTTAATGAACTTTAATGTACCTTAATTATTTCCTGGCACTCTGAGTAAAGTTATAACCTGAAAAAGCAGCGAACCTTTTGTGATACCGCCTCTGACCTCTTCCCTGCAAGATTACACTGTTCTCCTTATCAGGGGGTAACTGGTAAAATGTAGTTTAATACTGAAGCAACACTTCTTGCCTCTTGCAAGGGCGGGAAGTTTACTAAAATTAAATATTAAAGTAGTTTAAGAAATACGCAAGTTCTGATCCAATCTGATCAAGGCAATGAATGAATATATGGAAAAGTAGTAAAGTACAATGTACACTGTATAAAATACAGCTTTTCTTTTTATGGGCCACACATTTTGGAAAGAGAACATTGAAGACAGAGGAAAATTACTGGGATCAAACATTTTTAATTGATGTCTAAAGATAACAATGGCCAATTTGCATTAAATAGGTCTTAAAATGAGGGAATGAAATTTCAAAGGACTTAGCTGTCCCTAGGGTGGGGCCATGTCCCTCACTCCACTACCCCCTGGTTCCCTAGGGAGGTTCTCTTCTTAGGCATATTTTTTGCCTTACTGGCCGTGAATGGTCGCTTGCCTGCTGAACTAAAATTTAGGGCAGACTCTGAGATTATATCTGAGGAACGATTGCAGAAAATCCATACTGGTGACATGTCACTACCCATATCTCGGTAGTGCTTCTTTTTGGTTGTGGCAAATATCCCTCACAGCATGGCCAATCAGAAGCACTACTCACATCTGAGTAGTGGTGCGTCATCAGTATGGAATTCCTGCACTTGTTCTTCAGACTTCATCTTGCAGGTAAACCAGTGGTGGTGTTTCAAAAATTATTGTTGTTGGCTACTTTCTCAGGCTAATAAAATTTGTATCGTAGACGTAATCTAACCCTAGTTAGTAACTTTTGTAGAGCAGTGCATGTAGCCTTGTTCTGCACCAACCAAACCACCAAGCCCTCCCTTTCCCCCTCCCCCTTAGAGAAATGAATTACCAGAAATGCGTTTTGAAGTTCCTTTCAACCTGAATAGCAAATTGACAATGGCTTCTGAACATGTAAATAATTATGTTATGTACTTAACTCCTGGTGCACATGTGGGGGCTCCGAACAAGAATTTTGCCATTTTTTGCCGGACAGACTTAACCAGAGTTTAGTTTCATCTGTGGCATATGCTTAGCATAATAAAGTATTAAATTGAGAACACGTCTAAGGCTTGTTTCAAGAGTTTGTCCTTTACAGTCTTAGCATTTGCACATCGATACTAAATATGTGATGGCTAATTACAATTATATAATTTATTTCAACAATTCCGTTTATTTACAGGTCATACTGTCAGACTACTTGGTCAAAAGAAAATTAGCGGAAAAAAGGTTGGGGGAGCACCTCTAGATTTGCCCAAAATCAGGAAAAATCCCCTTATAGAAATAATTGCTATCAACACTGGGTAAGTAAGTACATGTATCAACAACTAGTGCTAAACATAAAATGTGTGCCACACATTTTATTTGTTATATAATTTTATTATTTTTATTGTATTTTATTTTTTTTACTCTTATTACCACACTGTGGTAATTAGAGTGACCATCGACCGTTGCCAGTCATAGTTCAAACAGGGTGAGATAACTAGATCTGGTGGCTTTTGGGAGCCATGCAAGCAGAGCTTTGACTGTATTTTAATAAGAGATTAAAGTATTATTTCTTTTCTTAATACTGTACCAGATCAAGAAGTTTATTCAACAGATCAAAAATTATTTGCCATGGTCTATACTCTTATTCTTGACAACTGAACAGAAGTGATGTTAAGATGTTTAGAGCTCAATTGGAGGCGAGTGGTTTCACTGCAAAGTTGTGAAAATTTTGACTTCATTTCTATGGTCGGTAAGAGTGTAGACAATAAAATTGTTGTTGACTTGTTTTTTACAATAACATTGATAGTTTTTGTTGTTTATTTTAGTTGAAGTTTCTTGGAAAATCGCCCATTCGGTTTTGCGAGATTGGTAAAAAATAAAAATAATAAAATAAAATATAAGACAACAACAAAAAAATGCCCCAGCATCATTTCCATGGTCTCTACTATTATGGGCCATTGCTCTCAACCAGTTGACCAGCACACAAGAAATAACTCAGTTATTGTAAAAAATATCAGCTATTGACAAACAAATCTGACATTATGTAGGACCAATAAGTCTGAAAGAGTCGGTCGTGATAATATTATTGGTGTGCGACAAATGCAGACTACAGACTTGCAGACTGGATGTTAAACAAGGTCAACATTGTTGTTAAATGCCCTAAAAGATTCCCCATCCCTAAACTTTAAGTCTTATGAAAGTCTGGTTTATGGAAAGGGAATCTTTTAGAGCATTTCACAACAATGTTTACCTCGTTTACCTGCTAGTCTGCAGTCTGTGTTTGTCATACACCGTAATATTATTCTATTTCAATATTTAGGTGTCTCAACCAGTGCACATACTGTAAAACAAAACATGCACGAGGAGACCTGGGAAGTTATCCACCAGAAGAAATAGTGGCCAGAGCTAGACAAGCATTTCAGGGTAAGCGCTGTATAAANCTGTTAGAGCATTTCACAACAATGTTTACCTCGTTTACCTGCTAGTCTGCAGTCTGTGTTTGTCATACACCGTAATATTATTCTATTTCAATATTTAGGTGTCTCAACCAGTGCACATACTGTAAAACAAAACATGCACGAGGAGACCTGGGAAGTTATCCACCAGAAGAAATAGTGGCCAGAGCTAGACAAGCATTTCAGGGTAAGCGCTGTATAAAATGGTTAAAAGAATAAAACAGAATGAAATAAAATCAATGGAAAGTGTGACTTTACCATTATATTCCCTCTCTGTTTTATGGTCCTTTCATAATTATTATGTTTTCCTTGGGTAGAATTTTTATTCTTCCTTCTCTTGTATTATTTACATGGTTTATTTGTCAATTGTTTTAACGCCCATCATTATTATTTCGAGAGGCACCATATAAATCCTTATTTAGGCTGGGTATCAAAAACATCTTTTGTTTTTGTTTTTTCCTAAATACTGGTAGTTAAAGCTACAGTGCAGCTGTTTATTATTGTTTTTGTAAAGGCAGAAATGGCCAAAGTTGTTGCAGTTTCAGGATAAGAGTCCCAATCTTTTGGGTACGTTTGATGCACTTAACTAGAGTTAAGAGTATTTCATACGATGTGGTTGATTGAAATGAACTGTATTCAATAGAGGGAGTTGTTGAATTGTGGTTGACAAGCGAAGACACAGGAGCCTATGGCAGAGACATTGGAGTGACATTACCTGAGTTGCTATGGCAACTAGTCGAAGTGATTCCTGAGGGTGGCATGTTAAGAATAGGAATGACAAACCCACCATACATTCTGGAACACTTGGAGGTAAAGCAATTGGTGTTGATTAAAAGAGGTTATTAAGGGCTGTCAAAGGCAAATAGAATATTAGTCCACCACCGGATGGACTGTTTTGGCTGTTTATCGTTTACACGGACAAACCGGTTGGTTCACGGTTTGGATAAATGGTTAGAAAGATTAAGGACTAGTAAATTCCTTCGTGGAATCGCGTTTATCATTTTCACAAATCAGTTCCATTTAAAAATGGTCGACAAGGCCTGAGACTGGAATTTAAGATGGTTGTAAAGAAATGAAACACGAATTTCCGTTTGGCACATTCCGTCCGGAAAAGCAGGACTGCCTTTTCAGATGTTCCGTTGCTTCCGGAAAGTTCGCGCCGAAACGACTCAAAAAGTCGTGTTCCATGTACTTTCCAACTAGATTTTCCAGAAACTTTTTGTATCATGGTAAACAACCTTACAGTCCTCTTTATCCCCGTAACATCATCGAGACCGAATGCTTGCTTTAATAGAGCAGTAAGTACTGGGGAGGCTGGCGTCAGGGTTTTAGCAGTGGGAGGAGAAAGAGAGGTTTTCGTAGTCGTCGTGGTATGTGAAGGTTGAGTGTGTGGTAGCACTAGTAGAATGTGATAGATCCATAATCTTTCTGCCTACTATTCTCTTACTGCCGCCATCCTTGAAGCATCTCTCACCGTGAACGTTTGACTACCCATAAATTTTGTTCTATTATATCGCTAAGAGTCGGTGGATAAGTAGTTAAATTATTAACATAGGCGGTAAAGTATTTTCTGACTTAAGCAGAATCTTATTCACTTTTTTGTATCTTTGTATTTATTCCCTATAGGAAATGGCTAAGATCCTTAGTCACCCTCGAGTGTACAGTTTTTTGCATGTTCCTGTCCAGAGCGCATCAGACAATGTGCTCGCAGATATGAAAAGAGAATACTCTGTTGACGACTTCATGCATGTTGTTGACTTTCTTAAGGAGAGGTGAGAGTCAGCTTTTGTTACTAGTTTATACCTTGCCAACACAGCCTTTCCAGTGATGACAACTCTCCCAGATAATCCGGGAGACTGTTCTCCCGGTCTTCAGTTTAGAGTCTGAAATCTCCCGGATAATCGCCGAAGTCTGCTATTTCTTGTAGATTCGACTTTTTGACAAAAAAATTTCAAATATTTGCTTCTTTGAGCTATTTTACTGTTAACATCGAACGTTTCCTCACAAACTCCGGTATGCCATTGTAATATAGGCAATAATGTGATTGGTGGGAAGTAAGCCAATCAGGTCAACGCTACAATTCCAACAACATCTTTTTCGCGCTTTTTTTTTTCACAAATGACGTCATGTGCCGTGCGTTATGATGTCACCCTTCCCTATCAATTCTCAGTATTTGAAGATGTGGGGGTTGATAGCCCTGCCTTTCTTTCGTTTGCTCGATTTTGGCGTTCTCGAGAAAGACTCTGCATGAATAGTGCCTTTCTCGGCTTTTTTGATATTTTGACTGGGAGTAGTCTGCGCCGCAGGCACTCTGAACCTTCTCGATGCGTGAGCCGGCTGCAAACGTAGGCTAACTGGGAGCAGTTAGCGAAAATTCGTCAATACGGCTGACAAGAACACTTTTTAAAAAAAAATTAGTAAAAATGCCAAGCTAACAAAATTAGCACGTAGTTTTATTTCCTAACTGTTTCCTTGTTTACATGAGGTAATTCCTCAATTCCAGCCACGTTTGTCCCACTTTCGAGAAGATATAATTTATGCGTTATTGCACGGGACCTGCGGAATCGTGCAAGATTTGAACGGTAAACAGTGCTGCAATCGTAACAGAATTTGCACGGTTCCGTGTAAACGGGTTGAACAGGTAAGAAGTTCGTCCCTTCAAAAATTTGTCCGGACCCTTTTAAACGGGTGTCTTACACTCCCTAGTGACAGAGTAAAACTGACATTAATATGGGGTACAGTGCAAGCACTGTTTTATTACTCTTGGCCGTGCTGGTTAACCCTTTCACTGCTGAAGGTGACCAAAGGCAAATTCGACAAAAATCCCAAACTTCGTCGTGTAAAAATTTTTAAAACAAGTAACACTTCATGAAAGTACTTTCAAAGAGATTTCATTTGAACGGTCGCACCATAGGATTTTGTCCACAGACGTAAAGTTAGAACCACCTCACAGACTCCATCATCCACTCTGGCAGTGAAAAGATTAATGTTATTCTACAACCTTCCTAATGCCTTGCATGGAATCAAATGCATAAGGTTAACGTTCAATTCCTTTTGATTAACTTCTTTTAAGGGTACCTGGCGTCACCATAGCAACAGACATAATCTGCGGCTTCCCCACAGAAACATGGGAAGATTTTCAGGAAACTGTAGCATTGGTTGAACGGTACAAGTTTCCCAGTTTATTTATCAATCAGTTTTATCCACGTCCAGGAACTCCAGCAGCACGAATGAAAAGACTCCCGACTGAAGAGGTAATTTATATGGAAGGCGTTCTTCTACTGTCAAACACATCACTAACACAGGCTTTTGTCACGAGATGCTGGAATTCTAACTTGCATTTTTCCACAGAGGCAGGATAACAGTTTGCCATGCTGTTGTGAAATGATCGGCGCGTGTTGAACCGAGGATGAAAGGGGAGATTGAGTGGATTTGACGAAGATGGATTGTTCATCTGTTGTAAAGGGGCACAAAATAATTCAATCCCTTGTTTTTTACCCACATCTAACTTGGTCGAACATTGTCCAAATATCCGACAGTATTGATTGGTATTTCATCAGCGTGTTAGGGTGGTTTGACACGTCATGCTACTTCCGTTCTAAGCTGCCTCGACTTCAGCATGACTGTAGCAGGACTTGGTTTCAGACGTTGAATTTAACTCAGTCGAATCAAATAGCTGTTGCGGAAAACAGAACTAAGAAATAAGAAAGCGGTCTTTGGAACTTTAAAAAATGCATTGTAATGTATTTATAATTTATGAATTGAGTTCGGCGCGGCGATAACACGACGTTTGAAACCAAATCGTGCCACTGCCGTGTAGCACGGCAAAGCTTTCCACGCAACAAGGCAGTGGCACGACTTAGTTTCAAACAACGTGCTACTGCCGTGCTTAAGTCGAATAGACCACTTTCTTTATATTAAATTCATCCTTGGCTACAAGACTAGGGGGGATAAAACAAAAGAAATGTGTTATTTATTCCTGCGCCTCAAGACGATTTTGTTTGTTTTAACCGTCAAGCCTCGTAGGCAAGTATGAGTTTCAATCAATTGAGTTTGGTAGGGCAGTAGTGCGAGGCTGGAATCAGGCCCTGGATCCATTTATTGCGTTTGCTTGTTTACAGTTTATTAGCCATTCATTTATTGAGCTATCGTGGTGAATTTTTTTGGTTGGTTTAAACTAAAGGTGAAGAGACGAACAAGAGCAGTTTCCAAAGTATTTCATGGATACCACCCATACGACCACAAGGTATACTTCCATTTAGATAATTTTTTTATTATAATCACCGTATTTCGAAAAGTAACAGAACTTGGAATTTGATATCAACTCAACCTGCTCGGCTAATGTTACTAAAGCTGAGCTTTTACTTTCAATACATCATCGTTTTCTACTAAATTTGTTTTTCCTTAGTCTTTATTTCCTTATTAAAATTTGCCCCATGTAAGAGAATCCTGGACAGCCTTGGATTCTAGATTCCACTCTGTGGATTCCGGATTGTGTGGCAGAAAAGAGGAGTGTATTCAGTGTTAGGGAAGCACTGTTCGTGAGCTTTTCATTTAACCCTTTCACTGCCAAATGTGGCCAAAGGAATATTTCGACCAAGTTTGCAAATTTCAATTTGTAAAATTTTGAAAAACAAATAGCACCATATGACAGTAGAGGCAGAGCGCTTTCATTTGAATGGTCACATCATAGGATTTCGTCCACAGATTCAAAAGTTAGAGTCATCTTACAAAACTAAACCAGCACGCCTAAATATATACCCCTACTAATGACCCACATACCAGCGCACACGCCTAAACAAACATAAGATACCGATGAGAGCATATTTTCCTGCTAATTACCAAGTCAAACGCAGGAAAATACTATTTCCGTTTGGAACATTCCGTCCGTAAAAGCAGGACTTCCTTTTCGGACGTTCCGTTGCTCCCGAAAAGTTCGCGCTGAAACGACCCAAAAAGTCGTGTTGCATGTATTTTCCAACTAGATTTTCCATAAAATTTTTGGATCATGGTAAACAACCTTACAGTCCTCTATATATCCCCGTAACATCATCAAGATCGAGTACTTGCTTTAATACAGCACCCTTTACTAAGAACGGTACTGAGGAGGCTGGCATCAGGGTTTTAGCAGTGGGAGGAGAAACAAAAGTTTTCGTAGTCGTCGTGGCAGGTTGCAGGTTGTAGGTGATAGATCGATAATCATTTTGCCTACTCTTCTCTTACTGCCGCCATCCTTGAAGCATCTCTCACCGTGAACGTTTGACTACCCATAAATTTTGTTCTATTATATCGCAAAGAGTCGCTGGATGAGTAGTTAAATTATTAATATAGACAATAAAGCATTTTCTGACTTAATGTATTTATTCCCTGTAGGAAATGGCTAAGATCCTTAGTCACCCTCGAGTGTACAGTTTTTTGCATGTTCCTGTCCAAAGCGCATCAGACAATGTGCTCGCAGATATGAAAAGAGAATACTCTGTTGACGACTTCATGCATGTTGTTGACTTTCTTAAGGAGAGGTGAGAGTCAGTTTTTGTTACTAGTTTACACCTTGCCAGTACAGCCTTTCCAGTGCTGACAATTCTCCGAGATAATCCGGGAGACTGTTCTCCCGGTCGTCAGATTAGAGTCTAAAATCTTCCGGATAATCGCCGAAGTTTGCCATTTCTCTTTCTGACAATGAAATTTCAAATATTTGTGTTGTTTGAGCTATTTTACCGCTAACATCGAACGTTTCCTCACAAACTCCGGTATGCCATTGTAATATAGGCAATAGTGTGATTAGTGGGAAGTAAGCCGATCAGGTCAACGCTACAATTCCAACAACATCTTTTTCGCGCTTTTTTTCACAAATGACGTCATGTGCCGTGCATTATGATGTCATCTATCAACCCTTCCCTATCAATTCTCGATTTTGGCGTTCTCGAGAAGACTCTGCATGAATAGTCCCTTTCTCAGCTTTTTTGATCTTTTGACTGGGAGTAGTCTGCGTCGCAGACACTCTGAACCTTCTCGATGCGTGAGCCGGCTGCAAGCGCAGGCCTAAGTGGGAGCAGTTAGCGAAAATTCGTTAACACGGCTGACAAGAACGCGTTTTTAATAAAATTAGTGAAAATGCCAAGCTAACAAAATTAGCACGTACTTTTATTTCCCAACTGTTTCCTTGTTTACATGAGGTAATTCCTCAATTCCAGCCACGTTCATTTCACTTTCCGACAAAGATATAATTTATGCGTTATTGCACGGGATCTGCGGAACCGTGCACGGTTCTGTGTAAACGGGTTGAACAGGTAAGAAGTTCGTCCCTCCAAAAATTTGTCCGGACCGTTGTAAACGAATATCTTACACTCCCTAGTGACAGAGTAAAACTGACATTAATACAGGGTACAGTGCAAGCGCAGTTTTATTACTCTTGGTTGTGCTGGTTAATGTTATTCTACAACCTTCCTAATGCTTCGCATGGGATCAAATGCGTAAGGTTAACGTTCAATTCCTTTTGATTAACTTCTTTTAAGGGTACCTGGCGTCACCATAGCAACAGACATAATCTGCGGCTTCCCTACAGAAACATGGGAAGATTTTCAGGAAACTGTAGCGTTGGTTGAACGATACAAGTTTCCCAGTTTATTTATCAATCAGTTTTATCCACGCCCAGGAACTCCAGCAGCACGAATGAAAAGACTCCCGACTGAAGAGGTAATTGATATCGAAGGCGTTATTCTACTTTCAAACATATCACTCACACAGGCTTGTGTCACGAGATGCTGGAATTCTAAGGGGCAGAACAATAGTTCGCCATGCTGTTGTGAAATGATCGGCGCGTGTTGAACCGAGGATGAAAGGGAAGATTGAGTGGATTTGACGAAGATCGATGGTTCATCTGTTGCAAAGGGGCACAAAATAATTCAATCCTTTGTTTTTTACCCACATCTAACTTGGTCGAACATTGTCCAAATATCCGATAGTGTTGATTGGAATTTCATCAGCGTGTTGGAGTGGTTTGACACGTCATGCTACTTCCGTTCTAAGCCGCCTCGACTTCAGCATGACTGTAGCAGGACTTGGTTTAGACGTTGAATTTAACTCAGTCGAATCCAATAGCTGTTGCCGGAAACAGCACTAAAAAATAAGAAAGCGGTTTTTGGAACTTTAAAAAATGCATTGTAATGTATTTATAATTTATGAATTGAGTTCGGCACGGCGATAACACGACGTTTGAAATCAAATCGTGCCACTGCCGTGTAGCACGGCAAAGCTTTCCACGCAACAAGGCAGTGGCACGACTTAGTTTCAAACAAGGTGCTACTGCCGTGCTTAAGTCGAATAGACCACTTTCTTTATATTAAAATTCATCCTTGGCTACAAGACTAGGGGGGATAAAACAAAAGAAATGTGTTATTTATTGCTGCGCCTCAAGACGATTTTGTTCGTTTTAACCGTCAAGCCTGGTAGCTAAGTATGAGTTTCAATCAATTGAGTTTGGTAGGGCAGTAATGCGAGGCTGGAATCAGGCCCTAGATCCATTTATTGCGTTTGCTTGTGTACAGTTTATTAGCCATTCATTTATTGAGCTATCGTGGTGATTTTTTTTTTGTTTTGTTTAAACTAAAGGTGAAGAGACGAACAAGAGAAGTTTCCAAAGTATTTCATGGATACCACCCATACGATCACAAGGTATACTTCCATTTCGATAGTTCCTTTATCATAATCGCCGTTTTTGTAGCCTGAATTTCATCCGATTACTTCGAGTCGTTATTACTCCCTCAGTAACGTCTGAATCGACCGGCCGTTTATGCCGTCCAGTGACGTCACTACTCCTTGACCTTAGCTTTAATTCATCCAAAAAGCAAAACACGATTTTCAAGTGGCAAACCGAGAAATATCGTTTGGAAATGTCTGCAAGATACAGAACTGCTTTATTTTTTTTCGATTGTAGTTCATGTTTAACGTTCAAACTATCAACTGCATGCAGTACAACTGACTGAAACTAAATTCCATAATCAAACTCGGTCGCAATCACGCAATGAAATAAAAACACACACGGAACACTTAGTTCAAAAACAAAATGATTTGCTTTAATTGAAAAGAAGCTATTTGGTCCTTAACGAAGAAAAAAACAAGGAGAAAAGAAAGAAAAGCTAACAGAATCATCACACTTGACGGTAAAAATAGCAAGAAGGTCGAATTATAACATTGACCTTAGAAAACTTCGCGTAAACAAAATCACCGGCCGCCGAAACCACAAAGCGGCTCTGAATGAAAACTCACCTACCGACTCTCCGCGATGATTCTTCATTTGCAGTTCAATTTAACATTTCAGTTTCGAAGACAAGGGCAATTTTGCTGTTTAAGATAAAGATTAAGCTCATAGAAATGTTTGAACTAACCGAAAGAATGCCGGGGATGCGATCCGCTGAATATGAAATGACAATCCCGCTAAAATTTTTCATAATTATACATAATTAGGGGTGGACCATTTGATTTTTGATGGGGGGGTTGCAGGATTTTTAGACTGCTAGATATTTTTTTTTATTGCTCCAGCCCTGCAGGATTTTTTTTTTAATCTCCCTGTCCTTGCATGATATTTTTTTTAATGGAAATTTAAAACACAAATTTTGAAGTTTAATATCAAAAACTTGACCATCACCAGCCACTCAAAATTCATCCTTTAGGCTATTAAAAACCACCTTTACACGCAATGCAGTTTTAAGTTACATCTTTCTTTCAAAGTAATAAAGAGTTTCATCTTTATTCAGTGTACAAAGAAATGCATCTCCCCTAACCTGCGGCTAGTTGATTTCCCTGTCAGGCTAGTGGATGTTATATGCATCACTCTCTGTACTTGCCCAACAGATCACTTGCCCCCTGAACAAGTGAACGTTTTTTTTCTTTCTAATTACGTAATGCTACTGAGAAAAGCTTTCAAACTTGCGTGTAATGGTTCCAACTTGTCCAAAGGGCGAGCTGGAAATTCCATCTTATTTGAATCCTGTTTTTTGCTTTCAAAGCAAGAGAGAGGGACTTCAAAGAAGGGGAAATTGCACAGTAATCTGGCTTCTCAATATACGCATTTAGTATTTGGAGTTATCTAGAGATTAAAAAAAAAGGAGGGTTCAAGAAACGGGGACCTCACTGTAGATTTTACCAGTTTAGACGAATTTCGAGTGGACGTAGAAGCAGCTGGAGGGGATATAACCTGCAGGTGTTGACAATGGTCCTTTTTGAAGGCCGGTACCAGGACAGTTCCGTTCCCACGGCCCAATTAATTTATGTGCTACAGACTGTTTACTATTATTTTCTTGGCTTGAAAACAGGCAATGAACACAAAAGTAATAGAACTCTGCAAAAACACGAATGACCCAGAGGGAAAAAATGCTCTTCGATCTATTTGATCGTCTTTTGTCTAGTGCACATATCCAGCGCATCCGTTTCACATTCTTTGTATATATTGAACCCTGCACCAATTCAATGTTGCCTGCCTTTACTCTTGTTTGTCCCATTTCCTTTTCTATAAAGTAAATCTTATTTTGTTACAAAAATACCTGCACGTGACAACTGTTAGCAACTTAGGGTGGGAATCTGAATACATGAATATCTTTGAATCATAATATCCTTCTAGATCAGAGGGTTCACTTTAATAGGAAATCTAATTGGTAAATCATGCGTCGCGCTTGCAAAATACTAATTCACGCATCAAAAAATGTGATGCCCAGTCCTGTATCATGTGACGCACAGCTACTTTTGGGGCCGTCACGCATCACGCAAAATCCTTTGCCACGCCCAGGTTAAAGCTGCTCGATTTTTTTTTCCTTCTTAAGAATTCTGCAAGAAATTTTTTTTTTAACCAGAAACATATGCTCGATATTTTTTTTCGGATTTGCACAACCCCCCCATCAAAAATCAAATGGTCCACCCCTTATGCGAATGTTTAGACAATCAACCAATCAAAATCACTACCCGGTTTTCGGGTAGTGAGTGACGTCACTGGACGGCATTAACGGCTGGTCGATTCAGACGTTGTTGAGAGGAGAAAACGACTCGAAGCAATCGGATGAATTTCAGGCGACGTTTTTTGAAAACTAACAGAACGTGGATTTTGATATCAACTCAACCTGCTTGGCTAACATTACTAAAGCTGAGCTTTTACTTTCAATACATTATCGTTTCCTACTAAATTTGTTTTTCCTTAGTCTTTATTTCCTTATTAAAATTTGTCCCATGTAAGAGAATCCTGGACAGCCTTGGATTCTAGATTCCACTCTGTGGATTCCGGATTGTGTGGCAGAAGAGAGGAGTGTATTCAGTGTTAAAGAAGCACTGTTCGTGAGCTTTTCATCTAACCCTTTCACTGCCAAATGTGGCCAAAGGAATATTTCGACCAAGTTTGCAAATTTCATTGTGTAAAATTTTGAAAAACAAATAGCACCATATGACAGTAGAGGCAGAGCGCTTTCATTTGAATGGTCACATCATAGGATTTCGTCCACAGATTCAAAAGTTAGAGTCATCTTACAAAACCCCACCCAGCACTCTGGCATTGAAAGGGTTAACGGTAACACTTCCAAGATTTCGTCCGCATGATGGAAAGTTAGAACCTCCGTTTGCTGCGTAATAAACAGGGTCATAGGAAAGTGCTTATTTTCTCGTTTAAGATATGGTTTTGTTTGCATCCTTTTAAAGGTTGGTGAACACCAAACAGTTCTTATAACCGAGGATTCAAAAGATGGAGCTCATTTTGTGGGTCATAACAAGTTTTATGATCAGGTAAGTGATTGGAATCAGTGTGCATCTGTCCTTCCTTCCTTTCTCTTGTTCTTCAATTTAAAATTTGTAGACTGAAAGACAGCCATATTCTTGCGATGGTAAACAATGCAAGCCCCCTCAAACGAAAGGTCTGGCGCCACTGTGAGACCGAGAGTGGGACTTGGGAGAATCATGCGCCCTACGGTGCGTGTAAGTTTGTCGAGAATCCACGCAAACGGTGCTTTGGAGCAGGGGTTTTGATTAGCAAACTGACTATTTAGAAGTGTAAACCTATTCAATTATACCTAAAGAATTTTACGCATATTGTCAAGAGGCTGATTTACCCTGCATATCGTAAATGAACGCTGTAAAAAGTGCTGTCCAGTAACTTCGATATGAATAGTCGCATTCAGATTTTACTCATAAGAGTACGAATTTCGTCACCAGGAGTCAGAGTTGAAAATCGATAAATTTCAAGGGACTATGTTGTGAGGTCTTGCTGTGTTAAGTCAGTTAAAGTCATTACTCAGTGCCTTCACCCATAAACAAAATGCTTTTTAGAGTTGTGAAGATTTTATCTGGAGCACTAACCGTAACAACGTTTTTGGTGAAGGTGTTTGCTGGTATGGCATTAAAACAAGTTCCAATCGGCTCTGTCCATCCTTGTGATACGTGGCAATAAAAACGACAAGAATCGGTTTCAATGCCCAAATATAGTCGTAAATAACAAAACTATTCGCAACATTGTTATATATTCATACTTGTCACCCGTAGCAACAGACGACAAGAAATTGTTTCAATGCCTAAATATCGCCTTAAGTAACAAAACTGGGCAATTATTTTTGGATTCCAATTCAGACCCCTTTTAGCTTTTAAAAAAGAAGCTAGCAAATAGCTTTTATTTAATTCTTGGTTTTCCTCCTGGTACCCAAGTTTTACTCGGTCAAAACTTGTGGGGACGGAGTGGTTTGGTTATGGAGAATGGATAGAAAGACCAGTCTTTCTATTATCCATGGTTTAATCAAAGTCTTGCCGAGACAAAGTGAACATTGGAGTTTTAGGGACATGTCAAGTTAAAGCCCCCTTTTAAGTCGTTCCATCGGATTTAAAGTTTCTGTTTAATAATTTTCTCCTAGGGGTGCAAGATGCTACACAGGAATCCCAAGCCCATACCGTAGTGAACTATAAGCAAAAGGGGTTAGCAAATCAGTTTCTTCATTAGCTTATATTAACTCAATATTGTCACAAAGATATCAAGTTCACTGTTGATTTTGAAGAAAAAAATGCAATCCCTTTCCTACATATTCTTATCAAACGCCACAATCATACCTTTTCAACATCAATTTACTGCGGAAAAAAGACACTTCAGTGACACTTGCAACTTGTCTTTACACTAAATAGGACTTGTTCACTCCTCGGAAATACAAGACAAATCTCGTTTGTAAGCTCACTTTTCTTTGTTTCCGCATTTGCTTGTCACCTTCCTTGTTGCGTTTCTGTTTGGATGAACTCAGAAGAAACTGTTGTTACAAAAAGGTTACCTCATTTTGGTGTTGTCAATTACAGCATCAGCGATGTCCTAAACAGCCAACAAAACGGACCTAAGGTCCCTACCACTACAGTCCCAAAAAAAGAAATCTTTGTTTTATCTTATCTATGATTACAAAGCATACGAATCACCAAGCAACTAAAGGAAAGGCTTGCATTAATAAATTTCATGGATTCATTGATCTCAGAGTTATTTTTCAAAGCGTCAATCGTTGTCAAATTTCAAAGGTTGTTTATTAGCGGTATAAGGTCAGTAGTTGGGACTGTCAGGAATTCTACGTAGGTAAAACAAAACGTAGACTTCATGATAGGAAAACGAAACATTTCAAAGCGATTTTTTAATACGAGAGGTTGTCCATCTGCATGCTACTGCAAACCATGTCACGTCCACTTGTCATAGCCTTTATAAAATGGGACCACTTTGACATATTGGCTAAAGGACGGTCAGATATTTATTGTAGAGTTAAAGAGACATTTCTAATTAGGGATTTAAAACCTTCCCTTAATGAAAATGTTAGTAGCGAAAGCTCCATCTTTATTAGTTTTTAGTTTGCTTGTCTATTTTACATGCAAATTTTCCCGCCATGTGTCACTATTTTTGTTTCTTTCGCATTTTTTAAAATTATGGTGACCTATCTTACGTTTGAATATTTTTGTTACCTCTATCACAGCAGTTTGTATTTCTTATTAAGCTACGATGGCCATAGAAAAGAGTATTTACAATTAGTTTAGGTTTTATATAGCCAACTATTTCAACTTTCATTAGTTTCTCTAATGAATTGCTGAAAAATAACGAGATGAGATCCCAAAACAAGCCGGAATCGTTCCAAAAGGACACAAAAAGACAAGACATAGCACCAGTAGGCAGTAGTCTCCTTATCAGGCGGTAACCAGTAAAATTTACCGGCCGAAGCAACACTTCTTACCCCTTGCAAGCGCTTGAAGGTTTACTAAAATTAAATGAATAGTTAAAAAAAAAAATACGCAAGTGGTGATCCGATCTGATCAAGGCAATGAAAGAATACATGGAAAAGTAGCAAAGTACACTGTATATACGGCTTTTCTTTTGATGGGCCACGCATTTTGAAACAGAGCATTGAAGATAGAGGAAAATTATCGGCAGGGATCAAACATTTTAAATTGTTGTCTAAAGATAACAATGGCCGATTTGCGTGAAAAAGGTCTTAAAATGAGGGAATGAAATTTCAAAGAACTTAACTCTTCCTAGGGTGGGGCTATGTCCCTCACTCCACTGAATATAGAGTCTTCAACTCTTAAACGAACAAAGGACATAATTATATTTTATTATGCTTGTATTAATGCATTATAGAATGTTGGCTTTTGATTGGTTCAGAATCACTTGTGGTAATGATTGGCAGCCGATGCAGATGGCAACATCTCTTGCCCGTTCTCGCCTTCACCATCTGATCGCCCGGCTTCACGGGTTAAGTATCTGTTGTTTAAGGGAATGATTAGGTTCTTTTTAGAGCAAATCATGTCCCCAATATGTTTGCGAAATTTGCTGCTCTGTAGACTGTACACAGCGGGATTGATACTTGAATTAAACACCACCAATGCTGAAGCAATAACCTGATGAATAGCCTGTAATGAAATTGCGCCAGTGAAACCTAGGAAATAGATCAACAGCTCAGGCACCCAACACATCACATACACGACTGTCACAAAAATCACTATCTTAGTAACGCGGTTGCGGTAGCGAAGTAAGGCTCGTTGACTTGATTCTGCGTTAGCGCTTTTTACAAACCAAAGGCGGTAGACTACTTTAGAGTACAGGCCACCCATGATAGTAATAGGGATGACACCTGCCACCACAGACCACCCAACAGTGTATAGTTTGGCGTAAATTGGTTTGGAAAAGCTATGTGCACATCCCTTTATTTCTTTGATGTAAGTAGTTGCCCAGAATCCTGGAATGACCCATATGATAGAGACGATCCATGAGAGGAGGGCAAGTATAACAATCTTTTTCTTTGTATGTTTGATCTTCTGGCTGTAGGGATGTACGACGGCCCAGTAGCGTTCTATCGCTATTGCAACAAGGGAAAACACAGAGGCGACTGCACCCACCCATCCAGGGTTGCCACTTGTAATTATTTTACATAGCACTGACCCTAAAGTCCCTTGGGGGTGGGTGAAGGTTGGAGTTGCTATAGATTTTAAACCGATGAATACTGCGACCACCATATCAGCACTTGCAAGATTCACAAGCAGATAATTAGTGGGTGTCCTATTGGATCTGTTGAGTGTAACCACAAGGATGACTAAGGTGTTACCAACCAGGTTACATATGACCATTAAAGCAAAAAGTATTGTAAAACCAACGTACGTCCACGACAACATGGCTAACTGCCTGTAAGAAAGGAGAAAAGCATCTAAGTCAGGTCGATAGCGAGGATAAGAACAACAAGACTGATCCATAAGTTGGTTCAATACCTCAAAAGTTCTTCATTTTTGTTTTTGCATAACATGTGTCGAAAACTGATATATTATAAACTTACTAGTCTTATATCTTGTGCTTTGGTCTTTTTGGAACAGTTCAGGCTCGTTTTGGGATCCCTTCTCGTTATCCTTCACCGATTCATTAAAGGAACTAATGAAAGTTGAAACAGTTTGCTATATAAAACCTAAACTAATTGTAAATACTCTTGTTCTTTGGCCATCGTAGCTTATTAACAAATACAGGTGGATATAACACGCAAATTGTTGTGATAAAATAGAGTTAATATCAATATTCAAACGTAAGATAGGTAAATAATTAAAAAAAATAATGCGAAAGAAACAAAAATAGTGACACATGGCGGGAAAATTTGCATGTAGATTAGACAAGCAAACTAAAAACTAATAAAGATAGAGCTTTCGCTACTAACATTTTCATAAAGGGTAGGTTTTAAATCCCTAATTAGCAGTGTTTCTTTACTATACAATGAATATCTGACCGCCCTTTAACCAATATGTCAAAGTGGTCCCATTTTAGATGACCAGTGGACGTGACTTGGACTGCAGTAGCAGATGGACAGCTACTCGTATTAAAAAATCGCTTTAAAAAGTTCGGTCGTCCTATCATGAAATCTGCCGACGGTTTTGTAGTTTTACCTATTTAGACTGTTCCTGACAGTCCCAAAACTGACCTTATACCTCTAATAAACAACCTTCAAAATTTGAGAACGATTGACGCTTTGGAAAATAACCCTAAGATCAATGAATCCATAGAATTTATTAATGCAAGCCTTTAGTTACTTGGTGATTCTTTTGCTCTGTAATCACAAATAAGATAGAACGACGAAGATTTCTTTTGGCGGGACTGTGGTGGTAGGGTGCTTAGGTCCGTTTAGTTGGCTGTTTTGGACATCATTAATGCTGTAATTGACAACACCATTGAGGTAACCTTTTTGTAACAACAGTTTCCTCTGAGTTCATCCAAACAGAAACGCAGCAAAGAAAGTGACGAGCAGATGCGGAAACAACGAAAAGTTAGCTTACGAACGAGATTTATCTTGTATTTCCGAGGAGTGAACAAGAACTATTTAGTGTAAAGGCAAGTTGAAAGTATCACTGAAGTGTCGTCTTTCTCAGGTGAATTGATGTTGAAAAAGTATGGTTGTGGCGTTTGATAAGAAAATGTAGGAAAGAGATAATCATTGCATTTTCCTCTTCAAAATCAACAGTGAATTTGATATTTTTGTGACAATATTGAGGTAATATAAGCTAATGAAGAAACTGATTTGCTACCCCCTTTTGCTAATCGTTGGTTACGCTATGGGCTTGGGATTCCTGTGCAGCATGTTGCCATTATTAAATAGAAACTTCAAATCCGATGTCAAATTGACCTAAAAGGAGGCTTTAACATGTCCCTAAAACTACACTGTTCACTTTTTCTCGGCAAGACTCTGATTAAACCATGGATAATAGGCCCGGGGGGGGGGGGTACTCCCGCGAATTTTGGATAGGGGTGTGCCGCGAAGGTTCGTGAACCCTAACCCTATTTAGGGACTAAGAAAGCGAAAACTGATACCCTTTTAAAGGCCCAAAGCCGAAAAATGACACCCTATTCAAGGAAAAAACAAAATTATTAATAGCATGAAAAGGAAAACTCGTTTAGGCGGGCGTTTTCACACTCCAGTATTAGATAATACAATTAAGCTGCCCTATCTAAGGACCACACCAGGGACACAGAAACAAAAGGGTCAAAAAAGATACCCTATTTAAGAACCGAGAACCTCAAAAACCATACCCTATTCCGCGGCACGTACCTATATAGCCCATATATGGGAGTACCCCCCCCCCCGGGATAATAGGAAGACTGGTCTTTCTATCTATTCACCAAAATTACTCCATCGCCACAAGTTTTGACAGAGTAAAGCTTGGTTACCAGGAGGAAAAACCAAAATGGCGCCTTAAAGGAGCTGTTGTCACGGTTACTACGGATGCTCGGATTTTACGCATTGTGGTGTAAAGACCTGCACGGCGAAGGCCATTATTCAACAAAAACAAATTTTAAAATTAAACCACGGTAAACCGATCCTTACGGCAGCAGGAGTGGTTGGAAAAAAAAAAGAAAGGAAACAAAAATAAAATGGTGAACTATATTTGCCCGATATTTCGGTCTGCAATACAAACCTTCAATCCCGTTTAAACCTCTTGAAGGTTTGGGTTGCAAACCGAAATTTCGGGCAAATATATTCACCATTTTAGTTTTGTTTTCTTTCTTTTTTTTCCTGCCTTAAGGATCAGTTTCCTTTTTTATTTTGATAATTGAAGATTTTACTGATCCAGGTCTACTAAAGATCCTGCTGACCCTCACTAGTTTGTCGTTGTGGTCTTGCCTTCACAAGTGTTTCTGATATAAATCAACATAAGCTGGTTATGGCGTGACAAAATTAGCCCCATTTTAGCAGGATTGAATTAACGCTGCCATAGTTTTTCAGTTTCTCGTTTCCTTGATCTTATCTTTAGGTCCTTATTCATAAAAGTGAAGGTGATCTCATGGGCAAAATGGTACAAGTGGAAATTACTTCTGCGGGAGAACACTTTCAAATGGCGCGAGTACTACATGAAACAGAGGCACGTTCACCCGGCTTAGTTGAGCCGCTTCCAAAGGGGGCGGTCAGCGGGGTTAGGACTGAAAACACGCTAGTCAAGGTGGATCAAAGACAACCGAGTCTTTGGAATGACTGGAAGAAAGTTGCATTATTTATTTTATTGGCAGCTGTTTTAATAGATGTTTTAAGACTTGGATATTTATGGATTTTAGAATAAGTTACAATGACTCAAGTGTCTTGCACTCCTTTAGGCTTTCCTCAAAAAATCCGGAAGATGGATATTCAAGTGATTAACGCCAGCGCTAATAAATGGCATGCTCGTGTCTGCCTGGTACCTGTGATACCTTGACTTCACAGGGGACCCTTGAATTGCCATCTCCAGTCTCACTATTGTTTAAGCCAGCACGTGCGCGAACATCTTTCTATTTTAATAGAGATACAGAGATACAGGTTAATATGTGTCTTTACTGGCGCTGAGTTTAAAAACAAAAAAAGAAGAAAGGAAGAAAAAAAGAAAAGAAAAGAGAGAAAAAAAACTGCGTCATATTCTGCTCTCTACAGTAGAGGGAATGAACGAATCAAGGAAAGACTCGGGCTCGGTTCCTGAAAGCCCGATTATAGCTAGCGCTATTCCAGGACAAAAATTTTGTTCTGTTTTTGTATTTTACTTTCCTTCAAGAGAGAATGATTCCTTACATTGCTCTGAGTAACATTTTGTTATCATTACTGTATCTCACAGTAAAGGTTTAACAGTATTTTGAAAGCTCGAGTTGTATGTTCTTAGACAAGAAAACCATGCTTAAAATGTGCTTAATCCCTTAATCCTGGGTTAAACTAAACCATCTTTCGAGGAACCTGGCCCAGTACCGTCAAGATGCAATGAGTGTCATTGAAGGGGTGGGGCCCGAAGCGAGCAACTTGTATACAATGGTTATGTCACGGCGTTTTCACGGCTCGAATGGATGTATTTTTTAGAGAAATTTTAGAGCAGTTTTTCTCGCGAAACTAGAAGCTCCGTCCGTTTGTGAGCGCATTCGAATTATAAGATTACAGGAGCCCGTAACCCTGAATAAGGAGAACAGAACATCATCAATTCGCGCCAAAATCGTTGTAAAAATAAACTGGTTTAATAGTGACGCGAATGCATTTTCAGTTGCTTGCGTCAGGCAGTTTATCGATACTTCACTACTTCAACATCTCCAAAATCCCGTAGTGATCGTTTAGTTAATGGGCCGGGGAGCAGGGGAGGAGAGTGTGGTACCCAGATCTCCCACGGCCAAGGTAAAGTGTAAGACAGTGAAATCTGGACACGAAATATTAAAGGAGAACGTGGAAATCTGTGGATGAAGGTAATGTCATTCCGCGCCCTTTTTACCCCGTTCTCTCTTTCACCCTCGCCCGACCCCCCCCCCCTCCTCGCCCCCCTCCCCGGCCTCGACAGTGGTGAGAACAGTCATCTCCCATTTTGCCTCCCAATGACGTGGCTCCGGGTTCAAGTCCCGGTGTCACGTGTGGGGTTGTTGGTTTCCTAGCTCCTCTGCCCCGATATATTTTTCTCTGGTATTATGATTTTTCCTTCCCTTGTTAGTTGGGGAGTTTTACCAGTCCGTGAAATTGTCAAGCGTCACCCTCTCTACATAAAGTTCACTTTTTTACCATTTGTCTGTTTGTCTTTTTCATTAAAAAAGTATTTATTTTATTTATTTTTGTATATATGTTTTTTTCAATCCCTGACCGGAAGGCCTCTTCACAAGCTGTGCGGAAATCTTTATTTTAAGCTTGTGTATTATTCCCTGCCACAGAATGTTTTTTTAGGTCCCCAAGTCAGGAAGTGCAGAACTCTACTCGGAAGCGCACGTTCAAAGTTCAAGCACCAGCCAATGGTGGTTTCTACCACCATGATCGCTGTGATCGTTAAAAAAAAGTACAGTGAACCCAGTGCTCGCAGCAATCGTATAACTGATCATACGAGGATAAAATAAAATAAAGTAACAGTGTTAACCCTAACCCTCAGGTAAATCTGTAAGAAAAGAAGGGGAAATAACGATTACAAAATGTCAAGCATAAAAGGACGAGAAAATGCAAGAACCATCCCTTTCAACAGCTAGAATCAAAAGAATTATTTGTTTCTAAGGCAACGTCCATGGTTTAATTTTAAGGCCATGCACATGGCTTTGTCAGAACTTTCTTCGTGAGCGCCAATACTGACTTCACCAATCACCGTTGCTGTTTTGCGNAACAGCTAGAATCAAAAGAATTATTTGTTTCTAAGGCAACGTCCATGGTTTAATTTTAAGGCCATGCACATGGCTTTGTCAGAACTTTCTTCGTGAGCGCCAATACTGACTTCACCAATCACCGTTGCTGTTTTGCGATGATGTGAGATGGGGTGATTTTACGCGTGAAAAAACGTGAGGGAACAGATAGCTTGAATGAAAGCAAATGACAACAGTGATTGGCTGGGATGTACGCACACCCCCACAACCCAATGTAAGGGGAATTTGATCTCTCCCCTCTTACAAAATCCGGAACAATTTCTCTTTTGAAGCATACGATTTGTCATTTTCTATTATTTTTCTTTAGCAGGGGATTGTTGAAGGACGTTTTGAGCATCATATCACAAATTTTCTGCCTTTGTCATTACGTATTTGAAAAAGCTTCCGAAACTAACAGTTGATGGAGATACGTATTCTCCATAACAAAAATTGCGCGCCACAAAAGCAGTCATAGCCGGCTTCGAAACCAGATGAATGAATGAAAACGTGTATATGGCGTTGTGTACGTGATGTGAAAGTTCAGCTTTAAAACTACTATATATTCCGGCAACATGGATAAATCGGATCTCACAGAACAAGAAAAGGTTAAAGAGCTCTTAAAGGAGATACAACTTGACCAATTCTATCGACAGATTCATGGCAAATTACACATCACTCGATTATCACATTTTGATCACGTTACAGAGGAAGATCTTGATGATCTAGGAATGGCTAAACCAGAGCAGCGAAGGCTCTTCGAAGCGCTCAAGAAATCAAAGAAAAAGTCTCTTTTCAGTAGTTTTAGACGAAAGGTAAGGTTATTGATTTAGATTTTAAGGTTTACGGCTCGCTGAGTCATTTCGTGTGGGTGGCAATATTTTGACTACGCTTTCTACCGCACTCTGTCCTTGTTAAATTCCCACTGGGATACTTCTTTAAGTAACGTTTAGTCGTTTTTCCCTTTATAAGTGATACGACTTTTGACGGCTTTTAAATTTTCCGTCGTATATCACTTCACATCGTTTGTAAGAAAAACATAGGTAAAGTACAAGCGAAATTATTTTAGACAATTCAAGTTCGCGATGATCGACGTGCCGACGGTTTTAAAGCTCTCACCGTTTATTTGAGATGTTTAGTAAATCTAAGAGCATTTTAAGTCTAATATCAAGTTGAAAGTTATATGGCCAATGAAGCCACACATGGCCAATGAAGCAACTAAAAATGTTTTCACGCAGTTATGGACATACAATCAGCCCATCCTAGTCTGACCTCCAACTAAGAAAGTTCACGTGGCGACGGCAAATTTACGAAAAGCGTGGCGTACAAAAGCGGAAGTTCTGATTTGTATTAAACGAATTATTATTTTTGTTCAGTCTACGTAAGGTCATTGTTTGTGTGTGACCCGATCGAATGATTAAACCAGTTTTTAGTCAAACCTTCAGTAAAGATTTTTATTTCTTAAGGCGTGTTACATATTTTCGTGTGATGAAACTGTAAACAAACCATTCATTGCACGTTTTGAAATTAGCATAATAAACTGAACTCCCGCGAAAGCGGAATTCCTGACAAATTTCGCTTTGTTGTTGCTGCGTGTTTTACGTTTTATAATACCCATGAGATCCATTTTTTTGCTTTAGCTAGTAAAAGAGCCCATGTTATGGGGACGCATCGACGAGTAAAATAAAAGTTAACAAAGCGACGTGCACGTCTAAGGACATAATTTGAGAGTTTTTACTTATTACTCTCTGTAACGTTAAATGCATGCTTAAATCGCGAAATGCACTATTTTTAAAGTCAAAGAAACTGCTTCGCTACTTTGTAATTTTCCTTTGGTGATTTTAGTTATTTTATTTGGTGGCACAAAATGTATAAAGTCTGGCTCATGATTTCTGCCATTTCCGCGAAGAGTTTTCAAAGCTTTACATAGAGCTCACTTATGTGTACTCACCTATTGAATTGGCACTTTGTTGGCGAAAAAGCGTTGCAATGTGCTTGGAGTGAATAAATCTTTTATCTTTAGCTGCGTACATGCTATGGATAATGGCACAATACCCATGCACAAAGTCAAGTAATGCTTTGATGTAACCAAACTGTGACTTTATTATCTTTTTTGCTATCCACCATACAGTGTAAACAATAATAAACAATAACAATAATCCATAGAATCTATTGGAATCCTTCTTTCTCAAACTGTCCATCTTTTAACCTTAATCCCTTCCCACTTCATTAAAGAATGCCAAAGCATTCTCCTTTTCTGTCTAAAAACTGCAAAATAAATTCATTTTTCTACTGAAGGGCTGTCTACATTTCGTATTCTTGGTTGCTATCCTTAAAAAATTAGAATTTCTAAGTTGTTGCTACTACAATTATTTGGGCACGTCTCACCACTTGATTGATGAGTGGTATAAGTTCTGTAGCACTAGAGGACCTGCCAACCCTCATGATTTCTCTGTCAGTGAGACTTTTTTATCAGTCTTGTTTCACAGTCTCGTTGTGACTCCAAAGGAACATTCTTTTTTAATAATTAATACATCAACTTTTGTGAAGAAATACTGAAGTTTTTACTGGCCATAGGCACCTTATGGCCTTGCCAAAACTCCAGAATTTATCCAGCAAAGTTGTTGGTACTGTATCACTTTTTATGATGGGTCCAGACCCAGTTTTTCTGTAGCATAGATGCACCTTAAATCTTGGGTATTGGGTACCCACTCTGTGTCCTCCGTCCAGTTTTCATTGAAGTTAAACAAAATAAAAAAGAAAGGAAAAGAATCCAAAACACAATGGATTAAAATGATGAAATTAAAGAAACATTTTCCATGTTCCCAGGCCTTCATATGATTGTGCCTTTGATTGTGATCTCAGCCTTTTTGAAATTATTTGTTGTCTGGCTGGCAGGCTAAAGAAAGTTCTGTCTCTGTTTAGCTATACCCAAGCAGGAAAGATTGCGGGCTTGGTTTGTGCAAAAACACATGTTCAGTTTTGCCTCCAATAACTGACCAAGCTTGTTTGGGCAAGGTGGCTGGATATTGGTCTCATTCTTTTTTTGGCATCTTAATGGGCCTTTACATGCACATAAAAATGCTCAAAAAGAACTAGACCAATATCCCAAGCCATCTTACATGGAATCTTTCACTTGGTCATTGCATTTGTATGGTGGGTTATACATTGTACTACGGTGTATATCTACTTTTTTACTAGTTATAGCTATTGCTAAGTGCCAATGAGCAAAGATTCAGTTACCTATATAGCTGTTTAATTTGTTTAGGAAAGTCATGGATTTATACTGTGACAATAAAAAATTCCAGCAGGCAAAATTAATGCGACAGCTATATGCGTGTGTTGCAAATGAATCCACCCAATGATTGGTTGAGGCCAGGATGAGCACGGGACTCACAAACATGTACATGGCTTGTGTATTCGTTGTTCTGTGTCATGTGTTCACTCAAAAACAATGCATTCTCTGTTCTGCATTATGTCATAAAAGTTACCTTACACTACCTTATGTTACATCGCTTCAAGATCCATTCTTCCTTGGAACTTTCATGCACAGCCTAATTAGGATTCCCGTTGGCAATTATATTCTTTAATGTCTGTATTCTGCAGAAAAAAATAAATGGACTCTGGAAATTAATAACTGTTTTAGCATTTATTACATTGAAATATCTAGAAATCTGTTTGAAATAAAATATTCTGATATTTGTAATATTTAATTGGTCCAAAAATCATGGTAAAAATTAAGATTTGTAACATAACTTTTGTGTATCCTTATTCTAGAATATTTTACAATCATTTGAACTTACTCTTCATTTATGGAAGAAAAAAATAAGGTGATAATTAATAAATAAACCTACAACATTTTTTTTCTATAGCGATGTGTTTTGTATTTTGTAGAAAACAAAGAAAACAGAATCCCGTAGTGACTCCACAGCAGAGCGGATGAGTTGTTATGGTGTGTCTGGTGATGCCTTAACTTGTCTCATCAGTGAGCAGTCTCTCACACTTTTTGAGATGCTTGGAAATGGGGCTTTTGGTTATGTAAGACGAGGGAAATGGGTGAAAAGCTCTCTGAAAAAGGTACTTTATTTTTCTTGAAAATTAATTAAAACTCTCTTTCGGTGTTTGTCTGTTGCATCTGCGTGTTACAATAATCTTCATGTTGAAATCTGCATTAAAGTGGTAACTTTTTTGCACTGTGTCATCACTGGCTAAGTAAATTGAAAATTTCATGCTGTCTTTCACCAGGGAACACAAAGTTCAAGTACTCAGTGGCAAAATCACAGCTTAGTTATAAACAAATTGGTTCCCCAACATTATCTCAAACATTTCAAACAACAAAAATGAACTTTGAAAATCTGTCAGCACTAGTAACAAGTTTTCAAAAACCCTAATACTGCAGTCTGCTTGAAATGTTGGTTTTTCTCCATCCGTTTGTATTTTTTCTTTTATTTACACCTTTTATAATGTTCTAAGGATTCAGACTCATTGCCTGTTTATAAAACGTGACCAAAGAAAAGGAACTTAAAAGCATAGCTAAAGAAAACGATTCAGCTAGTGCTTAGACCATTTATTTATTACCATACATAAGGGGATCTTCTGGACCCTTCTGGTCCTAGACAAAATTATGGTGATATTATTTTTCAGTCATGATTTATAAGTTTTATACCTGTGGAGGAAATCCTCTTGCGTTATCATTTTAAATAAAACCTCTATGAGAGAACTTAAGCATGGTACCATTTATTTCTTTGGTCTTTACCAAAAGGTCATTTGAATTTAAGGTGAAGTTTTACTTAAGGCCCATTAATTCTGCTTTTATTAGGAGTAAAAGGTTGAAGGTGCCTTTTGGTAACAGTGTACAATCATGTACAGTGTGTATGAGTGTCAGTTTTACGTGCAATGCAATGACAACATGCTCTTGCCAAATAATTTTCTTTTAAAGGTCAATGTGGCGGTAAAGTGTCTGAGAGCATGGAATGACAAGGCATTTATACAGATGCAGATGGATTTTATCAAAGAAGCTAATGCAATGAGTTTGCTGGATCATCCACATATAATCAAACTCTATGGTATAGTGTTGTCAACTCCAATGATGCTGGTAAGTTTATAAACTGTAAATCAGAAAGATCTGTTTCAGCCCTAGAAATGGGGCTGTTTCGGTGATTAAAATAGGGTCCTATTTGTGAGTCTAATTTGGCTTCCTAAATCAGGGCCAATACAGCCCAATTAGCCCTGATTTGGACCCAAGGGCTAAAATGGGCCCCAAGGTGGGCTGGAATAGCCTTTTGATTGGGCTGTTTTGGCTTAAATTGTGCTCAAATGGCTCAAGAAGGGGCTTATTTTTAACCTGCAGGGCTGAATTGGCACTTTTGGGCTGAAACAGATCATTTTAATTTTCAGTGTACATTATGCTAAGTCTTGCCCTGGATGTTCAAAAGATGGATCAGAGTCTGGTCTGGAAGGGTTTTTTTCTGGGATTTGGGATATTGACCAACATACAGTGCTGGTTTTCTGGAAAACGCAAGGTGTCTTAAGGGGAGATGGGATTTTACAGCTGCCCAGGAAACAGGATTTTCCAAAATTTAAGCATAAGATTCGGTTTGTTTTGTTTTGTTTTTTGCGTCTACATGTATGTTAGGAATTTGGGAAATCATTTGTTTAAGTGGCAAATGTGAATCAACCAGGCATGCGCTAAGTGTTGTCTCCTTTCAAACCAAACTATAAAGTGCGCTTTGTTACCGGTAGTTCATTTTATTTTATTGCTTTTGGAAACAAAAGAGGAATTCTGGAAAGCGATGAAAAAATAGCAAGATGCGGGATTTTCATAAAAAAGGAGCAGGAATGTGAGGTCAGGACTTCCCCTCCAGACCTTGTTGGATATTGCGCAGACATGAGAATTTTTGCCAGCAGAAAAAATGCTGTTTCCTCTCTAAGATCTATGACTCCCTGCAGGAACTCTTTAAAGTAACAGACACATTATTTTTGACATTATTTAAATTAAGCCCTGCATTGTAGTAAAATGGTCATCAACCTTTCTTTTAAAGGTCACAGAACTAGCTCCTCTTGGCTGTCTGCTTGCCAGACTTAGAAATGAGCCTCAAAGCTTCACAATTAGCGGACTGAGTGATTTTGTGGTTCAGATCGCATCTGGAATGGCTTATCTGGAGTCCCAGAGATTTGTTCATCGGGATCTTGCAGCTCGAAATGTTTTGCTAGAATCTTATGAGAAAGTCAAGATTGGTGACTTTGGTATGATGCGTGTTCTTTCAGAAGAGGATGATCACTATACTATGCACCCCAGTGGCAAAATTCCATTTGCTTGGTAGGTTTTTTAACAGTTAACTTTCTCTGTGGCTTCAAGACTGCTTACAGTGCAACTGCTGTAATCATGGTCAACTAGACAAAGTTCACCGATAGCATCACAGGAAAATAACAATGTTCTGAAAAAAAGTTGGTTGTCAATCATAATTACTGAGAAACAAAATAAACAACATGGATCAAAATTAACTAATTACAACCAAATCCTCTTGCCCGTTTTTCTTTAAATACAGTGTAACACAGTGGTTTTGTTACCTCAGCATCCTGCGCCCCTGATGCATAAAAATCCCCACAGATACCATGCATGCCATGAATAATTTATTCATGGAGGATGCGATCAATAATTGGTCTGAAGATGTTTTTTTAGAATATCCTGTTCTTGTGATTTCTGTGGCCATCATTATGGCTGTTGTTTAAAAGAAGAAGAATTGTTTCGCTGCACGTGCAGATTCCTGTATTAAACTCTCAAAAATGAATAATGAGAGACATTGCAATTTACGTACGAATTTAGCGCTTTACGTGATAAAAATTTCAGTTTCTTTGACGAAGCGATGAAACATCTTTTCCTTTGGTGATTTTAGTTATTTTATTTGGTGGCACAAAATGTATAAAGTCTGGCTCATGATTTCTGCCATTTCCGCGAAGAGTTTTCAAAGCTTTACATAGAGTTCACCTATGCGTACACATTGAATTGGCACTTTGTTGGCGAAAAAGCGTTGCAATGTGCTTGGAGTGAATAAATCTTTTATCTTTAGCTGCGTACATGCTATGGATAATGACACAATACCCATGCACAAAGTCAAGTAATGCTTTGATGTAACCAAACTGTGACTTTATTATCTTTTTTGCTATCCATCATACAGTGTAAACAATAATAAACAATAACAATAATCCATGGAATCTATTGGAATCCTTCTTTCTCAAACTGTCCATCTTTTAACCTTAATCCCTTCCCACTTCATTAAAGAATGCCAAAGCATTCTCCTTTTCTGTCTAAAAACTGCAAAATAAATTTATTTTTCTACTGAAGGGCTGTCTGCATTTCGTATTCTTGGTTGCTATCCTTAAAAAATTAGAATTTCTAAGTTGTTGCTTCTACAGTTATTTTGGCACGTCTCACCACTTGATTGATGAGTTGTATAAGTTCTGTAGCACTATAGGACCTGCCAACCCTCATGATTTCTCTGTTAGTGAGACTTTTTTATCAGTCTTGTTTCACAGTCTAGTTGTGACTCCAAAGGAACATTCTTTTTTAATAATTAATACATCAACTTTTGTAAAGAAATGCTGAAGTTTTTACTGGCCATAGGCACCTAATGGCCTTGCCAAAACTCCAGAATTTATCCAGTAAAGTTGTTGGTACTGTATCACTTTTTATGAAGGGTCCAGACCCAGTTTTTCTGTAGCAAAGATGCCCCTGAAATCTTGGGTGTTGGGTACCCACTCTGTGTCCTCCGTCCAATTTTCATTGAAGTTAAAAAAAAATAAAAAAGAAAGGAAAGGAATCCAAAACACAATGGATTAAAATGATGAAATTAAAGAAACATTTTCCATGTTCCCAAGCCTTCATATGATTGTGCCTTTGATTGCGATCTCAGCCTTTTTGAAATTATTTGTTGTCTGGCTGGCAGGCTAAAGAAAGTTCTGTCTCTGTTTAGCTATACCCAAGCAGGAAAGATTGCGAGCTTTGTGCAAAAACATATGTTCACTTTTGCCTCCAATAACTGACCAAGCTTGTTTGAGCAAGGTGGCTGGATATTGGCCTCATTCTTTTTTTGGCATCTTTATGGACCTTTACATGCACATAAAAATGCTCAAAAAGAACCAGACCAATATCCCATGCCATCTTACATGTAACCTTTCACTTGGTCAAAGCATCTGTATGGTGGGTTATACATTTATTATTAATATCTATTTTTTTTACTAGTTATAGCTATCGCTAAGTGCCAATGAGCAAAGATTCAGTTACCTATACATGCGCTCTGTTTAATTTGTCTAGAAAAGTCATGGATTTATACTGTGACAATAAAAAATTCCAACAGGCAAATGCGATAGCTATAAGCATATGTTGCAAATGAATCCAGCCAATGATTGGTTGAGGACAGGGTGAGCACGGGACTCACAAACATGCACATGGCTTGTGTATTCGTTGTTCTGTGTCATGTGTTCACTCAAACACAATACATTCTCTGTTCTGCATTATGTCATAAAAGTTACCTTACACTACCTTATGTTTATACATCGCTTCAAGATCCATTCTTTCTTGGAACTTTCATGCACAGCCTTGTGAGGCTGCCCACTGACAACAATATTATATTTAAACTCATCAACAATAGATGAGCTTGGGGAAGGTGCCTGGAAAGATGGTGGGGCCTCGAGCACCGGAGCCGAGCGCGTAGGGTAACCATGACAACCCTGTGAGCGGCAACCACCAGGCACCGTCACACTGACAGAAGACAGTGGAACCATGATACTTACCACATACTTACCGGAAAAGGGGGAGGGGAGGGCGGGGAGTAAAGCCGCCAAGCACCGTCGAAAAGGCAGAAGTGCACGTGCAAATGAGTTGACCTCAAAACCCGAGCTGTAAAACCACGCGACCCCCTGCAGATCCCCCACCACTGCGCATGACCGAGACAAAGGAAACCCCAGACCAGCATTGTTTCGCGTTTAACTTAGCTTAAATTACATTTAACCACATTCTTTAATGGCTGTATTCCGCAGTAGGAAATAAATTGACTTAACTCCGGAAATCAATAATTATTGTTTTAGCATTTATTACATGTACATTGAAATATCTAGAAATCTGTTTGAAATAAAATATTCTGATATTTGTAATATTTAATTGGTGCAAAAATCATGGTAAAAAAGATTTGTAACAGAATTTTTGTGTATCCTTATTCTGGAATATTTTACAATCATTTGAACTTACCCTTCATTTACAGGAGAAAAGAAAATAATGTTTATAAAATTTAAAATAAATATACCTACAACATTTTTTTTTCTATCGCGATGTGTTCTATATTTTGTAGAAAACAAAGAAGACAGAATCCCGTGGTGACTCCACAGCAGAGCGGATGAGTTGTTATGGTGTGTCTGGTGATGCCTTAACTTGTCTCATTAGTGAGCAGTCTCTCACACTTTTTGAGATGCTTGGAAATGGGGCTTTTGGTTATGTAAGACGAGGGAAATGGGTGAAAAGCTCTCTCAAGAAGGTACTTCATTTTCTTGAAAATTAAATAATAACTTTCTTTAAGGGGTTTGTCTGTTGCATCTTCATGTTACAACAATCTTCATGTTATAACCTGCATTAAAGGGGCAATTTTTTTACACTGTGTCATCACTGGCTAGGTAAATGAAGATTTCATGCTGTCTTTCATAAGGGATCACAAAATTCAAGTACTGTTGTAAAATAACAGCTTATTAGTTATAAGCAAATTGGTCTCCCCAACATTATCTCAAACATTTCAAACAACAAAAATGAACTTTGAAAAGCTGTTAGATAACAAGTTTTCAAAAACCCGAAATTGCAATCCGGTTGAAATCTTGGATTTTCTCCATCCATACACGTTTGTATTTTCTCTTTTATTTATACCTTTTGTAATGCTTTAAGGATTAAGACCCATTGCCTGTTTAAAAGCGGACCAAAAAAAGGAACTTAAGATAAACACTGTAGCTAAAGAAAATGATTCAGCTAGTGCTTAGCTACCATTATAACAATACATGCAGTGATCTTCTGGACCCTTCCAGTCCTAGACAAAATTATGGTGATATTATTTTTCAGTCATGATCTATAAGTTTTGTACCTGTGGAGGAAATCCTCTTGCATTATCATTTTAAATAAAACCTCTATGAGAGAACTTAAGCATGGTGCTATTTATTTCTTTGGTCTTTACCAAAAAGTCATTTGAATTTAAGGTGAATTTTTACTTAAGGCTCATTAATTCTGCTTTTATTAGGAGTAAAAGGTTGAAGGTGCCTTTTGGTAACAGTGTACAATCATGTGCAGTGTGTATGAGTGTCAGTTTTACGTGCAATGCAATGACAACATGTTCTTGCCAAATAATTTTCTTTTAAAGGTCAATGTGGCGGTAAAGTGTTTGAGAGCATGGAATGACAAGGCATTTATACAGATGCAGATGGATTTTATCAAAGAAGCTAATGCAATGAGTTTGCTGGATCATCCACATATAATCAAACTCTATGGTATAGTTTTGTCAACCCCAATGATGCTGGTAAGTTTATACACAGAACACTGTAAATCAAAAAGATCTGTTTCAGCCCTAAAAATGGGGCTGTTTCGGTGAGTAAAACACAGTCCTATGAGAGTCTAATTTGGCTTCCCAAATCAGGGCCAATATAGTCCAATTACTTAGGGATGATTTGAACCCAAGGGCTGAAATAAGCCCCAAGGTGGGCTGGAATAGCCTTTTGATTGAGCTGTTTTGGCTTAAATTGTGCTCAAATGGCTCCAGAAGGGGCTTATTTTTAACCTGAAGGGCTGAATTGGCACTTTAAGGCTGAAACAGATCTTTTTAATTTTCAGTGTACATTGTGCTAAGTTTTTTCCTGGACGTTCAAAAGATGGATCATAGTCTGGTCTGGGAGGTTTTTTTCTGGGATTTGGGATTTGACCAACATGCAGTGCAGGCTTCTGGAAAACGCAAGGTGTCTTAAGGGGAGATGGGATTTTACAGCTACCCAGGAAATGGGATTTGCCAAAATTTAAGCATGGGATTCGTTTTGTTTTGTTTTGTTTTGTGTTTTTTTTTGTTGCTTCTACATGTATGTTGGGAATTTGGGAAATCATTTGTTTAAGTGGCAAATGTGAATCAACCAGGCGTGTGCTAAGTGTTGTCTCCTTTCAAACCAAACTATAGGGTGCGCTTTGTTAGTTCGTTTTATTTTATTTGTTTTCAGAAACAAAAGAGGAATTTGGGAAAGGGATGAAAAAATAGCTAGATGCGGGCTTTTGATAAAAAAGGAGCAGAAATGTGATATCAGGACTCCGCCTCCAGACCTTTTTGGATATTGCTTAGACATGAGAATTTTTGTCAGCAGAAAAAACTCTGTTTCCCCTCTGAGATCTATGACTCCCTGCAGGAACTCTTTGAAGTAACAGAAACATTATTTTTGACATATTTAAATTAAGCCCTGCATTGTAGTAAAATGGTCATCAACCTTTCTTTTAAAGGTCACAGAACTAGCTCCTCTTGGCTGTCTGCTTGCCAGACTTAGAAATGAGCCTCAAAGCTTCACAATTAGTGGACTGAGTGATTTTGTGGTTCAGATCGCATCAGGAATGGCTTACCTGGAGTCTCAGAGATTTGTTCATCGAGATCTTGCAGCTCGAAATGTTTTGCTAGAGTCTTATGAGAAAGTCAAGATTGGTGACTTTGGTATGATGCGTGTTCTTTCAGAAGAGGATGATCACTATACTATGCACCCCAGTGGCAAAATTCCATTTGCTTGGTAGGTTTTTAACAGTTAACTTTCTCTGTGGCTTCAAGACTACTTACAGTGCAACTGCTGTAATCATGGTCAACTAGACAAAGTTCACCGATGGAATCACAGGAAAATAACAATGTTCCGAAAAAAAGTTGGTTGTCAATCATAATTACTAAGAAACAAAATAAACAACATGGATCAAAATTAACTAATTACAACCAAATCCTCTTGCTCGTTTTTCTTTAAATACAGTGTAACACAGTGGTTTTGTTACCTCAGCATCCTGCGTCCCTGATGTATAAAAAAATCCCCACAGATACCACGCATGCCATGAATAATTTATTCATGGAGGATGCGATCAATAATTGGTCTGAAGATGTTTTTTTAGAATATCCTGTTCTTGTGATTTCTGTGGCCATCATTATGGCTGTTGTTTAAAAGAAGAAGAAGGACTATATTTTAAATTAATATTTCAGTAAACTGTAATAAGAGGTTTGGAGTCTGTCTTTAAAATAACTGTCTGGTTTTATAAGAATTAATGCCCTTTCATTTTGTGACTCGTCTTTTTCAACTGGGACTCAGTGATTCAGGACTGGGACTCATGATTTTTCACAAGAAGTGTCTCATGATTCACCATACTATTTGTAACAAAATCACTGGTAACACTTCATTTCTTAGAGACATGTGTGGCCAAGTGGTTGATGCCTCAAACTCCAGATGTGGAGGTCTGGGGTAAAACCTAGCCTGTCGCGTTGTTTCCCTAGACAAGGAACTTTACTCCACTTTGTCTCTCCTCACCCAGTTGTATAAATGGGTACCGCTGACGTATTTCTTCGAGGAGGGTGGTGGGGGGGGGGAGGGGGGGTGGAGTAACCCTGTGATGGACTAGCATCCCATTCTGGGGGGACTAGCAATACGTATATACTTCATGCTAAGGAAACCAGGATGAGCTCCGACCATTTTAGCCTTAGGTTCATGTGTGCCTTTAACTTTATTAAGATTTTATTATTTTTTAATTTCTTTTTTAAATTTTGTCACCCTAACAGCAACAAACTTGTTGACAAATTCCTGTGATGTTTTTCTTTTAAATGAAACCCTATTACAGAAGTTTTGCATAGCATTATCTATTTCTTTTGATTTTACAATTAACAAAATTGAATTTTTGTGAATCTTTATTTTTCATCAGCCTGTACTGTAACTAAATGTATAACAAGTGAATTGGTTTGAGTAATTCTTGCAACCACATGATTATCTTCAGTAAGGATATTTTTAGTCAAGTATTGTACAGTGGAACCCCGTTAATGCGACCACCGTTGGGCCATGAAATCCTGGTCGTAATAATGAGGTGGTTACATTAACAGGGTCTACAAAATAGTAAAATGACTCAATGGTTTTTAAGTTTGGTTTGAAAGAATATGGCCGTAATAACAAGGTGGTCTTATAAACGGGGTGGTCATAAGGCGGGGTCCCACTCTACAACTTTCTACAAGCCAGTGTAGGTCAATTAAGTCTTCCTACTTTCAGGTGTCCACAGGAAGTTCTCAAGTTCCGTAAGTTCTCTCATGCTTCTGATGTGTGGGCATTTGGGATCACTGTGCTGGAGTTGTTTTCATATGGAATGGAGCCATGGCCAGGGCTAAATGGAGCTGAGGTGAGCAGAGGATCAAAGCAAGCTAAGGTCTTCTCTCTATGCAAGTTCACAGTATTAACGGGGGCTATTAAAGGAGTTATTTTACACTATTTGCTATCTTTTTAAAAAAGCTAAACTTTTTCTTATGTCAATTGAATTTCCAAAAAAATTGGTCCAGTTTTTTTATTTAGGACATTTTATCTATTAAAGCAGTGATTTTTTTCCTCTGTGTCCTGCATCCCTGACACAAAAAGAATCCCTAAAGATGTAAAATAATCCATGGCATGCATCCCGTAGGACACAAAGATTGATCAATCAATCTGAACATGTGTTTTTGTCAAAATGTCCTGTTCGTGTAATTTCTGTGGCAGTCATTGTGGTTGTTGTTCAACGAAGCCTATATCTTTTAGCCTTTTTTGTGCTTTAAAATAGAAGGACTATATTTTAACTTCAGTGTACTGTGTAGTAGCCCTGAATCAGCAACATAAGACAGATGAAATTGTGACAAAGAACCTTAGTTGGGTTGAAACTGTGACAATGTAGGCAACAATCCCAATTATACTGACAGAGAAGCTTACCCCCCCCCCCCCAATAGATGAAATGACAGGTTTTGAAATCCAGACTAGAAACAAGCATACCCTTCAGGTAACCCCTCCCCCCTGCCAAAAGAGGGTGTCATTGTAATATGTTTGTCAATAGACCAATTTTGATTTATTAATTAAATTCATACTTGGCTGCGAGGCCTGGGGGAATAAAACAAAAGAAATGTATTATTCATTGCTGAGCCTCAAGATGATTTCCTTTGTTTTATTCCCCCAAGCCTCGCAGCCAAGTAGCATTAATTGGTGTATTGGCATCCTCAAAGTCTTGATTTAATAATAATGGAACAATTATTTTTCTTATAATGCCTTTCATTGGTTGATCTTATCTCTGTTACAATGTCTCTATAGGTTCTAGATAAAGTGGATCTGCCATTATGTGAGCGACCTAAAAAACCTGATCACTGCCCACCAGAAATCTACAACATCCTTATAACGTGTTGTTGGTCACATGAACCGCACCAGAGGGCAAGGTTTGCAGTACTGAAGAAATTAATGGATGAGGTATGCATCAATATGAAATTATTTTTTTACATGTCATCAAGCATTGTACAATAATACAAGTGTATGAAAAAAAAAATTAACATAGATAACGATAATCATTATCCTAAACGTAACCTTAATCATAATCATAATCAGAGGCATAATGATCATAATCATAAAATTTGACATTAATTTTATTAATTTTGTTTGAGTTATTGTGCAGGGTTAAGATATGTGCATCATTGCAGGGAGCTCTGTAAAATCAGTCAATATTTCTTTTTATTTTTATTTTTTCCAGGCTCACCCTCTGAATGGTGCCGCTGTTTATCCCTATGAGAGCAAAAGCCCATCAAATCTGAGTTTTCAAGCAGGAGATATCATCACGTTGCTTGATGCGAGGTAGGTACAGAACTAACAAATTTTTCAATGAATTCTTTTCGGCTTCTGCTTTTGTAGTTGGATTGTAAACCAGTAGGCAATGATGAGCATATATTGTATTCAAAGGTATGCAGATCATTTGCAAAGTAACGTCAAGTAACAGTGTTTGTTATTTCTTACCAAATTTTTAGTCCAGAATCTTCATGGTGGCGGGGCCAAAACATGAGAACAAAGCAAGTAGGAATGTTTCCCTCAGAACTTGTGGAGAATGGATTAAGGCGAGGTAGCCATTCATTTTTTTTCTTTTCTTTCTCAACAATCGTGCTTTAACCTGAAGCCTGCTTAACATACCCTTCGAGAAAAACGCGCACTTACATGTAGGATACATGTAGGTTAATCGTATCTGTTGACACCCCTGTCATTTGCTTTTACAGCAGTTTCACCACCTATAAGGCATGTGATTTCTCCAAAACAAAGGTAAATATCAATTTTTTATTTTGACTGACTGTCAGACTAACTTGACTAACTGAGTGCCTGGTTGGTTGGTCGGCTAACTGACTGACTGACTGACTATCTGACTAAGCAATGGTCTGTACGATGGACTGACTTATTGGCTGTCTGGCTGAGGAGTGACGAAACAGAATGGCTGACTAACTAGCCAGTTGACACACAGACTGACTGGCCGAACAACAGGCTGCCTACTGGCTGATTTGCTGTTCGTTTTCCTGATTGTTAGAAGAAACTGCATATAAAACAGCAGTATGTTACATGTACATGTTTTACTGCTTGTTTTCCCTGTCGACTTTTTTACTAGTAGTCATATACGTCTTTGTTTCACTTTGTTTGTTTGTTGGTTTTTTTTTTCCCGTTAGAACTACATCAAAAAAGACCTCCAAAAACTGTGACCAGCAGCTTCCAAACTGCAGTAAGTACATTACAACATGTAGTGCTTTCTTTGTGTACTCAGTGTAGCTCGAATAAGTTGAATTTGATAATCCTAGAAGTATTCATAAACTTCATTAGACAATACACTAAAAAAATTGTTTGACTAATGCGAGGTTCATCTAGCCCCTGCCAGTAACACTGAGTGTGACAAAGTCGAGGTACAGGATAATTCATAACTACAAAACAATTCTCGCAATGCCATCACCTCTTCTTCCGCCCCATATAAATAAAGACTATCTGGCAGCTTTTCAGGTTTACTATGCCGAAACGTTTGGTTTTTGGAGACAAGAAAATCTTTTCCCCAAAATTAAGTATTAAGCACCATTTTTTCACCGGCTTATAGCTTTTTAGCTTGTGTCGCAGAGGTAATTTAACCTACGTCTGCGAAGAAGTGCCGAGATCCTTGTTCTGTATTCAACGAATTGCATTTACCGGAAGTGCGTTTCAATTTACTTTGAACCTGATTGTCAGATTGACAGTAGATTTTTTAACAGGCCAATGATGGCGCAGGTGGAGTTGGAGGCCAGGAACAAGGATTTTAGCGCTGTTTCACAAAGGGACTTGACCAGAGTTAAGTTTCGTCTCTGGCGCGGGCTAATAGCCTTTGGTCTCCCAAAACAATCTTGGCAGGCTTTTTCTGTGCAGTTGCTGATTCTAAGCTGTCTTTAATTTTTCAGGGTGTGGGAAGCCTCACATTTATGAGACACCTATCCTCTTGGATTCACAAGACTTGTCTACGGTCAGCAGCAGTGGAAGCACATTTCGCTCTGTTGAGAGTGACTTAACTTCATCTACTGAGGTTGACAGTGGCTACTCTTCCGGTGTAGACGTCCGAAGGCTCAATCTTTCTAGCGGAGAATACAGTTTGGAGCAACAAGAACCATTTTTTAGTGCAGTGTATGAAAACACAGTTATCGGTAAACAGAACACCAAGTTAAAAGGCGATTCTTACGAGCTTATGTCCCCTGCATGTAATCTTGGGGCCGTTTCTAACCCAATTCCCATTCCGAAACAAGGAGCTGGAGAACCACGATACGTCAGGAATCATCATATTGGGCAAGTCACACCTTCGTTGTCAGCGGATAGATATCCTTTGGATTTCAACAACATCTACAACCAGAATTTGTGTAGCATTCAAAATGAATCTCCTCCCGCGCTTCCATCGAAAATGTCATCTTCGTTGCCAAGTCGTACGGTAGAGCAGATGAACCTGAAACAACCAAGGATTTCTAGAACAGCCTCTCCGCCTGGAAGCAAAAAAGTCCCACGTGAGACTGGTGCAGGAAAAACTGTTGCCCGGGTGATGAACGACTCCCTAAAGGAGGTTAAAACCAAAAAATCATTTGATGGTTCATTGATCAAGCCTGAGGAGGATGATATATATGTTGAGTTGTCAAGGCCAGTTGGTGGAATTCCAGCAACTCTGCCAGTTACTGCAACTGGCAGCACTTCCTCAAGGGAGCCGCTGAAGGCAGTCAATAGAAATTCATACGAAAACAATTTTATTCCAGTTAAGTGTGATCCTCACAAAGAGAGGAGTGTCTCTGACCACGAGTGTGAACGAATCAGATGCAATTCAGAATTTCAGTCGGCAGAGGACAGGACAGATAAAAATGGTCGCTGCAACAGCTGGCCTACCCAGCAGGTCTATGACAACCACAAATTAAGGGATGGTAGGGAATCGACTACGTGCAGCAGTTACTATGACAATCATAAGATAAACAACGAGGAAACCAAAGATGCGTCGTCTTACTTGTCCTATGATAACTGGAAGATTACAAACACTCGTTTTAGTGAACAACAGACGTCCAACTCCTTCTATGAGAATGTTGAAAAACCTGTTGATCATTCTTTGATGAACGGTGAGGATGCTGACCACGACAAGACCACTTCTGAGAGATCTGCAAATGGCTCCTTAAACAGGGATAGATCCGAGGACCATATTTATGAAAACTCCCTTCCTAGTCCAGGGCCCTTAAGCTATGAGAACTTTGCTCCAAGGTTTAACGCAGAGAGTGACAAGAGTGGTATAAAAGAAGTTTGGTATGAAAATTGCGAGGTCTTAGACAAGAGGAAAGAAAAATCATGCAAGATATTGAGCGAAGGTTTGTCAGGAAATACACATGATATTGGCAGCAGAGTCAGTGAAGAATTATCCAGCTCATTACCGGCAAATTGTTGCTGTGTAGATGTTGTTGCAGGGGAACACCCTCAGAGCCCAATAAATTTGATAGTAGAGAATCGTAACCTAAGCCCGCTTACAAGATCAAGGAGTGTCGATTCTATAAGGCAGTGCAATTGTCTCGTTGATGTATACCAGAGGGATGCCGATGACTCCCAGGAATTCCTGGATCACCCGGTTCCCCCTCCCAGATGGAAAAAAATTGAACGTTTAAATCAGACTCGATCTATGGACGTCTGCACAAAAGGGACTTGGTCAGTAACCGTGGATCCTAACATTGCAAGTGTACTGAGGAGGAGGTGGAATGGGTCCGTCAACAAGGGATCGTCTGCGGAGTCACTTCGGGTTTCTCAAGATCCTCGAATTGAAACTTCCAAAGAAGCGGAGAAACCAAGTTTGCCTTCACGTTCTAAAGCTACCAATTTGGCTGCCTCTGAAATTGCCGCCCATTCTAAGAACACGTATGAAAACGTGATATTACCAGGAAAGATGTTTAGTAAAAAAGCTCCCTTGAGTTGCCCACCTAAACTTCCTCCAAAAAAGCAGCGATCAGTCGAAAGCAATTCCTGGAAGATGGCCAATTCGACGAGGAGAGCACAAGCTTACGAAAATGTTGGAGTTTTGAATGGTCACCCTTTGGAAGGTAATGGAGTCGATGAAGGTGACAAGGAAGACAGCACTCCTCCTCCACTTCCTAGGAAGATGTCACAGAAAGGACCACCTCCGATACCATTTGGGGTTGATTTGGAACAGGCCTGTTAAGGGATAGCAAGCGTGTACTGCATGTGCTAAATTATTTCTTGTGGAGACCGGATATATATAAAAGGAGTTGCACAGTAAGATAGTAAGCGAAAATATAAATGCAGTGGAACCGTGATGTGACGGAGTGCGAACGTACCGGAAAATGTTACTTTCAGAGGCAGTGCCTCCAGAACGTGTACAACGCAACAGAAAGAGAAAGGCGTAAGGATTTTGTCTTTTTTAAATTTATACTCAAAATTGCACACATACAAAGAGATTTTGAGGTCAAGTGGCGATCGAAGAGGAACTTTGTCTTATAAACTGGCCGTCAATGGAACATTTGCACGATGGCGTCATTTTTCTATTACGAACGGAATCCTTTTCGTTTTTCTTTGCATATTTGAATTTGGTAATCCCAGCGAGGTTTAAATAACAATAGCCCTAATTTACACAAGAAAGCAAAACCTTGAAGGATTCTGGTCGTAGTTTAGGTAGGAAAATTACGTCATCTTGCAAATGACCTATTGTCTAGCATGAACCATGCAATTTACTGACAGTGAGTGAAGAGGGTTATCGCTTGTTATATCAAACCACTCGTTTCATCGGGATTCCACTTTAAATCTCATTTAATAATTGATTTTTAGAGGTACAGATTGTTTCTTACCCTTTAAAAATTATTAAGTACTGACCCTACAGGTGTACTTACAATTTTTACTCAAGTAGAAGTAATTGAATATTTTTCCTTTGTACAGATTATATTGTAACATTGTTTAGATGCTTCTAACACTTGCACAGGCAAGCAATGTAAATTTATTGTCTTTTACGGTTTTAATTACCATGCATTTATCTCTCAGTGTTTTATTCAATTTTATAGTTTATTTTATTGTACAATATTTTATTTCACTGACGCACCAGTTGAGCTGGAAGCTGTCAGATTTTAAGCTTAAATTCTCTGTAAATAGATATTTGTCCTTTTTCCTACTATTCTGAATATTTTAAACGGGCTTCGAGGTCGTTTCTCTTTGTTGTTCATTTTTAACCGATTCATTGTCAAACGAAACGTCATTATAACAATTTTATTTGTTTAATTGGCGAATCAACTGAAGCTGGAAAGTAAAAATAATTATTTATTAGAAAACGTAACACCATAGAAAACTATCAGGCTTCGTACCTCAATTATCTCGGCCTTGGAAGACCCTTTGAAGGCCTTGGTAAACTTCATGAACTTCAGCTCTCTCTCTTTGTTTTTTTGTTTGTTTGTTTGTTTGTTTTTTTCCCACTGATTCATGACAATGTTGATTCTTTTGTTTTCCTTGAAAAAAATTAATTTACCCATTGAAAGAGTTATTAACAGTTAAATGTTGGAGTCCTTGATACTATATTTTGTTAACCAAAAATTTTCTTGTGAACTCTAGTCACGGCTAAGGTGGAGACACCAGTCTTTAGTATTCAGCCGCGTTTAATGGTCAAGTTAGAGTCTATACAGAAATAAAAAAAGCAGTCACTTAGTATTTAAATAATTTGAATTTAATAGGAGTAGGAATCATGTAATTACCAGGTCAATATAGTGATATATTTCGAGACTGTGTCTCGTTTAAGTCATGTAGTTGCTTGTTCAACACGTATGAAGATTGAGATCCTAGTGTTTTGAGAGAGCTGTAAATCGTTTTCGCTGTATTCAATTTTATTTTATTAGTTGTATTCTTTTTGAAGTATAGCGAGTAGCTGTTTTATTTTTGGCATAATTTCAGTCGTAATTGCCGATGCTCTTCAAGCAGACGCTATGACCTTTGAAGTAATTTATCATTTTATTTATTGAAAATAATTCATTACAGCCTTCCTCCAGCGAGGCTGCAAATGGTGAATAAAATTAGAATGTTACTATAAACGTTCTACTGTATTATCAAGATTTTTTTCCCGATTTATCGGTAAAAATGAATTGTTCCTAGATAACAAAATTGAAGGACTCAGACCGTTCTATCCTTTGAAATAGCTTAAGAAAACTTCGTGTAAACCCGTGGAAAGTTAGCATAAGTATTGGAAAGCATTAGTTCAAGGAAACTTACTTTAAAGCTGGCCTGAGACAAACAGAAGAACAAGTAACTGAAACATGGTGCTTTCCACGAAACCGCTCTATTCCTGCAATCCCTACGAGTCATATCTCTATGCTTTCCTAATTTACCTTATGCTTGCTTATGACGTGTTAAGTCAAGTTCTTCGCAATTATTCCATCATTGACGTTAGTCATTGGCGTCAATGTTGTTATAGCCACGACGATGACGAAAACGTCAAAAAACAATTGTTTTTTTGAGCAAAACAGCAGAAAATGGCGGGTGATTTTACCGCTGTGCTAAGACGAAATAGACTGCGAATTACTGCAGTTTGAAAATAACAGCACGATTACACAAGCCTTCCGGTCAGATGGGGGATGAATCCTCAAGCTTCGGAGTCAGGTTAGAATGTTAATATATGGTAATAATATACTGTTATTAACATATAGTAAATAATAAGACGCCCTTGTATGACTATCGACCTCTTCCCAACAAAAACTAAAAGCTATTATTCAGTATGCTTTAATAGGTACTGGTACCCCGTCGTTTCTGCCTAATTTGCTTCTGATCTTTAGGGACATCCCACAAGTCCACTCCACACTTGCAGCAGCAAGGCCACATTCTGTAGTATTCCATTCTAAATGTCCTGTTGAGTACCCCGTATAAAACAGGGTTGATTGCAGAGCTAATGGACACTAGGAACACATTTAGAAGGTACACTCGTCTGGGTAAAGAATGGTTCCCTGTGACAGAGTCTGTGAACTCGATGACAAATACAGGGACCCAGCACAATGTGAAAGCGAGAACTATCGCGAACAGAGTTTTGGTGATTCGTATTTCCTCAATGCTTATTTTTGAGTTATGGTAGTGTCCCAAGGTCGAGGTGATCGAATAAAATCGTTGCCGGTGCTGCTTGACCTTCAAGAAAACTTTGGTGTAGCAAAATATTATGACGGAGAACGGGACAACAACGTTTACAACACCAAGGACGCCGGTGTATAACTTATCAGTGAGCGGCTGGTGGAATTCCAGAACGCAGGTGATCTTGCCGGAATGAAAACGAAAAAATCCCCATCCGGTAACAAGGGGCAAACCGAGAAAAAACGCAGCAGATAATACAACTATAGTTAATGAGAAAAGGACAAATTGTTGAGTGAAAACTCTGCGAAATAGCCAAGGTTTGACGACTCGACAATAACGATTGAAGGCTAGTAAAGCTATAGTCTGCAAGGACACGAAGGCCAAGAAAAGAACTGCAAAGCCGTGCATTCCACATACTACACGAGGATATCTCCATTCACCGACCAAGAACACGCCCCAAACCAGAGGCATACAGAACGTCGCCATGGCAACGTCCGATACGGCTAAAGCAAAAATGTAGAGATAGGTGACGCTTCGTAATCGGGGGTTCCGGTAAAAAATAAGGCAGACGAGCAGATTGCCTAGCAAGGCAGTTAAGTTGATAAGGACGAAGAGCGTTGCTTCTATGGCGTAGCCAGCTGTGCTCCTAGACTTCATAATGAAGACAAGATCTATATAAGGACCTCCTTCTGTAGACTCATTTGGCGCCATTAGCAGTTCTGCGTTTTAACTCTGTCAGGAAAGAAAAAATAATAATAAAACCTATGGAGTTAAAAATGTGAACCTACCCAACAGGAAGGGTGCTGGGAGGAATGAAGACGGCAAACCTTGTGTGACAAGCTAGACAATAATTTGGTTAGAAGAAAAAAAATCCGCCAAGCTTCACCTTCCTTTAAAAAGATCTTTCCGCAAAAAGCCAGAAAACACTGATGTAAAGCGGAAGATCGCAAAACACGCAAGTAATTTCCCTGTCACGTTTTTCACACACAAACATTTTTTCCCGTGGAGTCCTGTTGCGCAAACTCACTATTATCGAGCAGGGGGTAGAAAAGTTTGCAAAAAAGCACAGACCAGAGCATTTAAGACTAACAACCTAAAAAAGCAGCAATACTTTTAAGAAAATGTAATTTAAAATCCCATTTTAAAATTTAAAGATTGCATCTTCTCCGACAAAGGAAAAAAGTACGCAAGGAACTTCGCTGATGACAACCAAGTGCGCATGCCGACCATGCCTGTCCGCTGGACAAGGATAACGTGGCCTTTGAGAACAACGTGTTCCAGTTTCCCCGAGTTTCCTCTTTAAAATAATCAACATCAAGAACAGTTCAAGAAGTGTTAAAACTCTCGCCAACAATAAATAAAGACCTGAGCAGAGAAGCGAGAAAGCCGCAATGTAATTATTTACCCCCAGTCATTATATTCTAGACATTGCGGTAAAGTAAGATTTACAGAGCTTTCAAGAAAGTATTGTATGTTTGGACAGAAACTATTGCTGAATACATAGACCAGTGTATACCTTCAAAACATTGTTCAGTACTGGCTTTGATGCTCCCGCTTCGATAAACATAGATTTGATCAAGATATGTCAGTTAATTTCGACACTTTTCAAACTCTTTTTCAGGTAAATTTCATTTGAAGCCACAATCTTTCGGACAGTTACACGATTTGTTTCCTTCTGTCCTTCCAACTTTTCCCTTAAAAATTAGGCTACGTATTTCAATTCTGTAAGAGCAAGTCATTTTCACTTTTGCAACGAGTGAAATATTTGATTATTATGTGATTAAAATACACGTTTTGTATTTTAATTTGCCCTGTTTTGTCACTTCTCTTGACCCAGCGATTCTTATAAGTGGTCCGAGTGGAATGGCCGGAAATTACAGATTCTAATTTGAACCTCAG